GCAAGCAGGGCAGCCGTGCCGCCCACAAGGCCAAGGAAAGTGCCGACTGTGCCTCCACGCAGAACGGCTCTGGAGAAAAGGAAGAAAGAATGAATCAGTTCGTTGGGGTAGTTTCAGTTAAGAGCATGAGAGACATGGCCGTTGGGGGTTTGCCTTTGTGAGCTGGACGGCGCCGGGAGTTTCTTACCTGTAGTGGGCATTTTCTTCTTCTTTTGAGAGGACCTTCATGATGAAGTGGCTGTGACGGTTGTGATGTAGGAAGAAGAGTGGATGTTGGATGTTGGATGTTGGATGTTGGATGTGGATGCTGGGTTTGGATGCTGGGTTTGGGGGATATTCCAAAGAAACAACACACAAGCGATCCAGAGAAAGGAAATCCTCGTCCTCTTAACCGGTTGACTTTCAGCGTTCGGTGATGCCGCCGGATTATCTAATTATGACTCGCGTTCTGGAGACACAGCTCACTGGAAAAATTCATCCGACAACAACGGGGGGAAGGTCACTCCAGGTCACTCCACGTCCAGAGTGACTTGTGTCGCGGCGGGGATCCACGTGGATCGAGAGGTACCGGGTACCTGGCTGCATTTCCGGTTTCTCCGCGGGATCCCGGGAACAGCTCGGCGCTGGGCTGGGCTGGCAGGCTGGACCGGCGAATCAGCGGCGGGCAGAGTGTCACTGCAGCGTGGTATTTGAGTTGATTCCAAGGTTGGGCTTATGTATATTGGATTTGTTAGGAAGGATTAAAGAAGCAAAAGGGGAACACAGTGTCGTTGTATTTTTTGTATTTGTTTTTATATCACAGATCACAGATTGCGTGCTGAGAAACAAAGGACCCCCCGCCAAAACGCCGTCCTGGCTCTACGGAAAGGCAAAAGTCGATTGGAGTTATAACAACAATGAGGATCAAGACGAAGCACGAAGCACATGACAAAACGAGATCACTGGAGGAATAATAGACCAGTTCGGAATGGTAGCAATAAGGCAACCTACACACACACACACACAGAGAGAGAGAGAGAGATAGAGAGAGAGAGAGAGAGAGATAGACACTTGATCAGAACTGTCGTTTCGGCTTCACCAGGTCCCTGTGTCCCAGCGTCCTCCCCTCCCCCCCCCAAGACAGGAATGAATGCTTTTCACCTTGTCAACAAAGCTTTTTTACCTCTTCGACGCTTTCATCGCTGCCGCCTGTCGGGCCTTCATCCGCCTAAATCGATCCTCGCCACTTGCGCCCAGGGGACGCGCAAATCTGCTCTCCTGCACCGTGGTCGAGCGCGGCACAATGGTATACGAGGTGTGTCCAGCTTCGACACGCGCTCGGTTGGCGAGGCGAGGCGGTAGCAGTTCTCGTGCGCGAGCCTCTGCAGCGGTGGCTTGTGCTGATACCCCCTGGTTGCGAGCAGCAAGTTGACTGTGTGTGGGAGGGGTGTTACAAATCAGCAAGTTTTGGGGGGGGGGGGGGGTGGCTTTGGGTGGCTCTTTCTGTGTCAGATGGAAAATAATTAAAGACGTACCTGGGATCAAAATAGGCTTCCTCGTAGACTCTCTTCGAATAATCATCGCTGCGCTGCAGGATCGGACGGGTCCATTCGGCGAGAAGACGCTCCGCCTGGCGCTTGATCCCAATCTCAGGCCGCTTACTCTTGGTGTAGAATACAATGACCCTGCCAATGCCACTGGCAATGAGCGTCTCCTTGTTGATGGGGAGTCTACCTAGTGCCGCAAGGAGATCACGCTGGATGTTATATGCCGGCAGGGAACCGTCGTCCAGTGGCTCCAGGAAAAATTTGACCGCTTCGAGAAGGTTGATTTCCGGGTCGACTAGGCTGTTGACATATTGGTTGCGATTTAGGAGCGAAACCACTTCTGGGAGCATCTTCAATTTGTGCATCGCGGGCCGGTTCTCTTTCCGAGCTATACTGTCCAGCTTGGCCGCGTCGGTCATCCGTCTTCGAACATCTTCGATTTCCGCATCAGCCAGGTCGGCGAGATCCTGCAAGCGAATATTCATTAGCGCCCCGCTCTCGTTCTTCCCGCCGCCAATATCCAGCAGGCCCCGATGCTGAGAAGCACAGTTTTGTTCACGTACAATCCCATCCGCCTTCCGAGCACGCCGTTTGGTAGGCTTCTTAAGCTGCTCATCCATCATACGATCAAGCGCGCGGCGACGACCTGTAAAAATCAAAGAAGAAAAAAAAAAGGAGATGTTACCCCTGGTCAGTAATCGAGATAAAACCGTAATCGTAGATGTAGGTCAAGAAGACATACGCGTAGCAGGGTCCAGGTCCTCTTCATTAATCTCCTCCACAATCTTCCTACTCCGCTTCTCACCGTCCTCCCTCCGCTTCCTCGCCCGTTTTCCCTCTATTTCTTCCCCACCACTAAACGCATCATCGCTCTCCTGCCGCCTGCGACTCTTCTTCTCTCTACGCCCCTCTTTGCTCTTCTTCTTCTTCCGCTGCTCCTCCTCCTCCTGATTGCGTGCACGCTTATGCCGGCCAATGAGCTTGAGGTTCTCCTCGTCTATGGCGATGGCCGGCCGCTCGTCAATCGAAACGTTTGCGGCATCGAAGTCTTCGAACTGCGCGTCGTCGACGTCGGAAAGGACAGATTCATCGTCTGAAAGGTCCAGTTTCGCGATGTCGTCCTCCTTGTGTTGCATGCTGTCATCTTCCTTGTCCACTAGGGGAGATTCTGCGGCTGCTGGCTCGGGTGAGGCAGACATGGCTAGCTGCTCCTACGATGGAAGAGCCCTTGTAGTGAGAGGTCCCTTTTTTCTTTTCTTTTCTTTTCTTTTCTTTTCTTTTCTTTCTTTCTTTCTTTTATTTTCTTTTCGTATCTACTGTCTAGAGACAGAGGTGCGCGTCAAGTCAAGACTTCGAAGGGGATGGCTTCTCGGGTTAGGGAATCAAAAGGGAGCGAGGCCAGCAAAAGGGCAAACCGCTTTCGGATAGTGCAAAAGGACCAAAGAGGAGGAGAGTAGCCAGGGCGAATATAATAGGCGCTGCGCATATAAATGCGAGGAAAAGGGCTGAAGCGTTTGCAGTCGAAAGGAAGCGCTTTTCTGGTGGCGGGTTTTGGCCCTTTTGACGAGGCTCTTGAGAGTCCGATGGGCAGGTGGCCCGTGCTTCAAGACCTCAAAAAATAATTTGACAATCGAACCAAGCATTGAAATAACACCAGTTTCAGTCAGTGACTTCTCTTTCATACCACTTCGACATCTACTCTATACTATTTTAGAACCCTCCTCCCGTTCAATCGAATTATCCCCCCATAACTCTTCTCGAAGCTCCAAGTCACTCAACTCCTACAATATGTTTGCTCCAGGTATGTTACTGGACTCATTCCCAGACGACCAGCCCCAGTCTGTATTCAATCCATTAAATCAACTAACCTCCTTGACAAAATGAACAGGCCACCCGCAGCTCTCTGAGGTCGAGATAAAGGTCCGTTCCCTATTCTTCCACTCATTTATTTCCCCCCCCCTTTCGATTTCCTATCCCGCTCGACATTGCACTTCGCAGAGTTGGCACGCAGACATCAGAAATGAGAGCGGAAAGGGGGATTGAGAGCCTGCCTCACGTAGCGATAAACCGGACTGGACTGACAGATGGTGAAATGGCCTTTGCGAATCTTTCTCTATAGGCTGGAGAAAAGGAGGCGTATCAAACGGTGAAGACGGTCATTGCGGGCAGTATTGTCCTATACCTCTGTATGTTGTGAACTTATATATATATATATATATATATATACATATATACATATATACAGCCCTCCCATTTCCTCCGCCCCCCCAAACAAGAGCTCCGCTGACCTCTCTCTCTTTTTTTAAGCACCATTCGCGATAAGTTTTGTCAAGAAGCTGTTCTAAGCCGTGCCTTAGAGCATATCAAAGGGGTCTATCAAATCACTGCATCCGCATAGACACTCTGAGCTAAACGAAACGGATTCGATTGGTTCCCAGCGGAACCCTTTTTTTTTTTTTTTTTTTTTTTCTTTTTTTTATCTGATTTCCAAATCATGGATACGGGGTGTTTGCCTAAAATAATTTTCTCTTTTTCTCTAAAGAGAGAACCGGGCGGCAGGGAGGGTGGGTTTTTGGTTGGTGATAGCTACTAGACTCATGTGGATTGTATATGTATCTCTGCATTGTGCTCTTCATCTACAATTATTTATCCGGCAAGCGAAGGGTTAGGTTATGGGATGTAAAATGAAAATGATGGACTGATATATATATGTATATGTATATATAGAGTAAAGCTCTCTCAATTTTTTTCTTTTTTGGGTTTTACAGGATGATCTGATCCATTGCTGATAGTTTCCAACAATATTTCCACTCCGTTACGCCACTGGGATATATATTCCTGAGCTCATAAGAGAAGAAGAGGAATAGAAGAAAATAGAAAAATAAATTTCCGGCACAATTCCATGATAATACATTGAATGTGAGAAGAAGAAGAAGGAGAGCAATAAAACTAAAAAAACTAACACTAGAGCCGAAATCACAGGAAGCACACTTCATGTCGAAGATCCGTGTATTGTTTCAAAATCCCTCTGCGCAGCGGCAAGCTCCTTATTCAAATGCTGGATCTGTGCAGCATAGCTTTCCAGAATCTAGAGCGATTTGTTAGCAGAAAGGGGGCCAAAAAAGTAATCTCGCAGAATACCAAGCGAAAACGCTCCGGGGTCGTAATGGCATACCTTCTTAGCCGTCTTCAGGGCACTCTCATCCAATTCATCGTCGGCTTGTTGGTTAGACTCTTGGCCAGTTTTCTCCACTTCCAGCTGCAGGCGCTTCGACTGTTCCCGGATAGCCAACATTCTGGCCCAGATTTCCTCCGTGCGGCCATTGAGGGAGGGGTCGAACACGGAGCGCTCTAGTTGGTGAAGCTTCTTCTGCAACTCCTCCTCGGTCTCATCCATAGCGTACCCGCGATTCCTCAATATCTGCGTTTTCGCCGCAAGGGCAAGACATCTCTGACTGAGGACTGTATGTTTTCGTCGGCAGGCGGCAATCTTAACCGAAATTTTCAGGTCGTGACGCGAGAGGAGCTCTGTGAGAGCGTTATTGATTTCATGTAGGCGGACTTGCATCATGGCGAGGAAATCCCGCTGTCGCTGTGCTCGTTTTCCCAGCTCCCAAAACCCCTGGACGAGCACAGGCACGTAACCCGGACCAGGTCTTTTCCGCAGCGCTTCCTCCCATTTTGTTTCGTCATCTTGTCGGCCTGCATTGCAGGAAGAAGGGCGCATTATCTTCGCCTACATTGTTGTATAGGTGGGCGCGAAACGGGGAGTTTCGACTAGTGGGCTGCCACTTATCCGTGACAATGCTCATTTGCATTGGTACTGTACGGTGAACTATTGAAATAGAGTCAGGAATGTGCGGTGTAGGATTTTCGGTAAAGATCAAGATCAACACTAACCGCCAGTCATTCCTTGTCCCGGTGTCCACAACGTCGCTCCGTTTTGTTGAGATTGTCCGAGTGGTTGTTGATGCTGCTGCCCAGCGCTAAGTGTAGCTCCGAAAGGCTGTTGTGGCGGCTGAGTGCTTGCTCCAACCCCTGCAAAGAGTCCACTACCCTGCTGTGTCTGTGGTTGCTGTTGCTGGATATTCTGGCCAAATGCCGAGAACATGCTGCCGCCTGATGGCTGTTGCTGAGGCTGCTGCTGTTGCGTTGAAGAACCTCCGAAAAGGCCACCTCCCGTTGATTGGGGTTGCTGTGTAGTAGAAGTAGACCCAAGTCCGGCGAACAAATTGCCCCCTTGTTGCGTTTGCGTTTGAGTGTTGGACCCAAGTCCAGCGAATAGCCCGCCTGGTTTCTGTTGGTTTTGTTGGACACCGCCAAACAAGCTCCCTGGCTGTTGCTGCGGTTGCTGCTGCTGCTGCTGAGTGCTTGCTCCAAAGAGACTCCCGGTCTGCTGTTGAGGTTGTTGCTGCTGCTGTTGGGCGAGAGAGCCAAAGAGGGGCTTCGCTTGCTGTGGTGCTCCGAATAGACTTCCGGTCTGCTGGCCAAACAGCCCCGTCGACTGGGGCTGCTGAGCGGCTTGCTGCCCAAAAAGAGACATGGCAACGCAATGTAAAGGAAGCACAGGAGCGATTGCTCAGCGTTTTGAGGGAACGCCCAAGCGGGTTGAGCTGGCGCGTGAGAAATTTCAACGGTGTTGCATGAGGTCACTCGGATACTGTAAGCAATTCGGTGCCTTGAGCCTATATTATATACCAGCAAGAGGCGAAGAACTAAGCGGGAACATCAGCAATAAACGCTGTCAAGACCACCTCTCCAAGCCCTGCTGTCGCTAACCGAAAGCGATATTTCAAGCTTTGATGATTGTTTTTCTGAGCTGTCCACGGGTGGTTGAGCTGGAGCACGTGATTATTTGTTCCTGAATACGCTAAACCTAAAAGGTGTATATTAGTAGCTACGCGTATTGGCCAATAGGAGGCGCGGTAGACGCGTCACGGAAAACTACAGATGTTTTCCACAGGCAGAACAACCTACTCCGTACGGGATACTTCATATGAAATGTGAAATGTCCAGGTTCGTTTATCAACATGGCTCCTACTGACAAAACCGAAAACGCGGAAAATGAAACGAAACCGAACAGAGGAACTCGCGAAACAATGGTTAACAAAGGGCGGCGTTTACCGTGAGGATTCAGACGACGAGCTTGGATATGAGGACCATCCGTGGGAATGGATATACGAAGCGGACCAAGCTTCTACTGGAGACACCCGATTAAGCGATTCTGATGATGAAACTAATTGTATGACGCCCACAAACCGCAAAGTCCCACATCGTTCACGGAGGAAAGCCACAAAGAAAATCATAGGGGCAAGGATGGGCTCGTTCGAGTGCAGGCTGGGGCAGGCGGTACTGCTAAAGTCCCCAGAGCCCGGAAAGGACTGGGCTGGTATCATTTGCGAGTTCCTAGAAGAGGAGGAGGAGGGGGATGATGAGGATGATGAAGACGAAGATGGTACCGGAAGCCTGGTAAAAAGCGCCAATATCATGTGGTTCGCATCGCCGGATGAATTTCTGGGAACGAAAAACAAGAGAAGGGAAGATGCTTTGCCTAATGAACAATACATAACTATGGATTTTAATGTCAACCCATTGACGTCGATAGATGGAAAAGCGATTGTTCTATCAAGAGCTGCATTCGAGGAGCGGTACCCGAACGGGATACCCCCAAAAGGGAGAGCAGCATTGGCGGAGTACCACAAATGTATCATTTGCCGAAGAGGTGTCAATCAACTTCAAGGGAAGTACACCGAAGAATTTGTATGGGAGGATATCTTCGACGGGACCGAAGAGGGCTTGTTTGCCCTTATCGATTTTATGAAAGCTGGATTGAAGCGGTCTCGAAAGCGAAAGGGAGCAGATGATGACGTGGGTAGCCAATTGCCCCTTTTTTTTGTGTTTGAATTAAGACTGATGGAATTTGAGTAAAGTATGCAGATGTCAAAGAAAACGGAAGTGCGCCGACTACTCCACGAAAAAAACACAAAAGCTCATCAGTAGCAGGGACACCGCAATCCCGACATCGTCGGAAGGTTCTAACTACTCCAACTCATAAGAGGTACGCTATCCATCCATATATTTCAAATAAATGCATACATATTTGATATGCTAACAACCCCGGCAGGATTGTGGTCAAGAAACCAGTAGAATTTACTCCATTAGGAACTCGAATACTCTCTCCATCTCATTTTACGTCATCTCCATATCGACAGGCCCGCAATCTTCTACATGTGTCAAGCGTCCCGGCTTCTCTTCCTTGTCGAGACAGCGAATTTAACACTGTCTACGACTGTCTGCGTCTCGCCATCACTGACGGCACTGGAACATGTATTTATATATCTGGACCTCCCGGTACAGGGAAAACCGCAACTGTTAGAGAAGTGATAGCGCAGCTTAATGCGTCCGTGCTCGCAGAAGAATTAGACGACTTCGTATTTGTTGAGATTAACGGCATGAAAGTTACGGATCCGCACCAGTCGTACTCATTGCTTTGGGAGGCCTTGAAAGGCGATCGCGTTTCACCATCTCATGCACTTGATCTTCTGGAACGGGAGTTCTCTCACCCGTCCCCTCGTCGGGTACCTTGCGTTGTTTTGATGGACGAGCTAGACCAGCTTGTTACTAAAAATCAATCGGTTATGTATAATTTTTTCAATTGGCCAGCATTGCGATACTCCCATTTGATTGTGCTAGCCGTGGCCAACACGATGGACCTGCCCGAAAGAACCCTTAGCAACAAAATATCAAGTCGTCTAGGCTTGACCCGAATTACATTTTCCGGCTACAAATACCAAGAGTTAATGGAAATTATTGGCTCTCGCCTTAGCAACGTACCGGGAAACTTAGTCGACCCAGATGCCATTCAATTCGCAAGCCGTAAAGTTGCCGCAGTTAGCGGAGATGCACGACGCGCCCTTGACATTTGCCGGAGAGCAGTGGAAATAGCAGAACAAGCCAGTGAAATTGCAGAAAAGGCCAAACTAAAATCTGCCCTTTCGCTTTCCAACGGAGATGGCATACATATGGATGACATGGAGACATCCTCGCTCCCTCCAACACCAAGCAAAAGCGCATCGCGCCGAAACCGCGTGGCAGGACCCGCGCATAACAAGCTTCCACCGATCTCAGAAACGGAATCAAACCCTCTCCCGTGTGTTACCATCACAACCATCAAACAAGCCATCCAAGAAGCCACCTCCACACCTCTCCAACAGTCACTGCGCTGTCTGCCATTAACAGGCAAGGTATTCCTTGCAGGCCTACTGGCTCGCATCCGTCGAACCGGCATCACCGAATCCACGTTCGGGGACATCCTCGATGAAGCAAAGCGAGTCGCCGACGCAGCAGTCGCAGTCGCTGGTGCGGCAAGCAGCAACTTGAAAGCGTACTTGTTGCAGAAGGGAAGCGATACGCGCATATCACGGGTGTGCGCGATGCGGTTCGCCGCTGTGGAGCTGATGAATTCTGGTATTTTGGCTCTGGAAGGGGAGTTGAGCGCTAAGGGAAGCGGGTCTGGGATGGGACATGCGTTAGGGGGATCGGATAGAAGTGGGAAGGTGAGGTTGAGGATTGCGAGTGAGGATGTGAGAGCTGCATTCCGGGAGGATGAGGAGGCGAAGATGTTAGGACTGGGTTTTGAGCAATGAGTTGGGTTCTTTTAAGACTTTTTTTTTTTTTTTTTTTTTGGATGTAGCGTATATCAAGAACGTTAAATGATTATGGTGTATTTTGATCAGCGAAATGCAGCTGTATTCATTAGATTCAGACAAAGGATGGGTTTATATATGTGAAAATAGAGGGTGAGCTTTTCAAGGAGATAAACATGAACATGTAGCAACACCCGTTCAAATGCTTGTCACTCTAATTCATATAGTGGATAAGAAGCCACCAAAAAAAAAAAAAAAAAAAAAAAAAAAAAAAAAAAAAAAAAAAATTATAGTCCTCTGATAATTCGTACATAAGGGGCTCGAAAAACGCCATCCGAAAGTTTTGCGCAACGCCAGACAAATGCATGACCGAAATTATTGTGGGAGACAAGCACATTTTAAAGCACAACACATTCCGAAACAGGAGAAATTCCAAATTAATATTTCTGTCTCCCTAATGTCGGCTTCCAATCCAACGGATGCGTCTCTTCTGTCGCCTCGTCGTCCGGCTTCCAGATCTTAATAGTTTTATCAGCCTCTCCACAGAGCAATCGGAGGCCGGTCCGATCAAACGTAGCAGCCATAATACCAGCCTCCGCATCCAATGAACCGGGTTGAGCAGTTGTATCCAGAGACTGGAATCGATGGCCAGTCTTCCAGTCCCAGAAGGACATGGAGCCATTGTCGCCACCAGAGAACAATACATTATCCTCATTGACCGCAAGATTATTGATGATGGCATTATGGCCCTCGAAATTCTGCATGAAGGCGCCTTCGGGACATTTCCACTGTTTAATGCTTCCGGCGCTGGCACTGGCGAAAGTGAATTCCTTCGGATGGACAGCCAACGCTCGAACCCCTTTTTTATGGTGGGTTAGGACGCCCATGGTTTTGCCTGCGGCCAGGTCCCACATCCGAACGGTTGAATCAAGGGAGGCGGTAATGACTTGTGGGTCAGCTTCTTGACATTTCAGGTCTGAGACGGTTGTTCTATGTCCGGAAAGCACGTGGACGTTGCTGCGTGTTCGCATGTCCCACACTCTAGCGGCGGCGTCTCGTCCTCCTGTTACGAGGACGTCGAGAGTGGGATGTAAATCGAGGGTGTAGACACCGCTTAGATGGCCGTGGTAATGTCGGATGACCTTGTTTGTTTCGAGATCCCAGCATTTGACCATCTTATCCTCACCGCAAGAGAAAAGGTATGGATGTCGTGGAGACACTGCCAGACCTCGCACCGTAGATATGTGGCCGGTAAGGGTCAAACGAAGGCTGCCAGTTGCCAAATCCCATATTTTAATTGTTCGATCTCCTGCACCACTTGCAAACCACTGATTATTAGGTTCCACCGCCAAACTGCGGACCCAACCCAAGTGTCCCGATATCACTCGCATAAGCTTCCAGGGCGCGTGCCATTCTGGTTTTGGCTGTTGAGATACCATCGGACGCCGTACAAGACTCGTAGGCAAATTATCTCCATTGGATTGTTGTGAGCCAGCCACCGGTGAAGATTTCACGAGGGCAGTTGAAGAGCCAGATGTTTCTGTCCCGGTACCAGCAATGCCAGCACCAGTCCTTGCCTTCGGGCGTTTCGTTCTGCTCGCTGTTGCCTTTGCCTGCTTCTCAGCAAGGGAAGGGGGGAGCGTTTGCACATCATCGTACTCTACTTTTCGTCGATATGACACACCAATCGAGTCGCCGAGATTTGCGGTGAATCCTGAGGGTAAAAGATAATCGGAGCCGAAGAGATCGCGGGTTCGCTTCGCCGAATTTCGCACAACTTGATCGAGCGCTGGAGGGGATGGAGTAACCTCCATAGCTGTTGGCAGCGTCTCGGAACGCGATTATCTCTGCGAAATCTGGAGGAGTTTCCGTATGCTTTCAAAAACTGGGGGGAGGGCGCTTGCGCGTCTGAAAAGATCGATCCTGGATTTCAGTGGTCACAAAAAACAACGCTTTAGTGCAAGCGTAGATTGAGAGCGCTGTTTGTCGTCTGGAGATAGAATTAGTTATTGAAGAAGTTTGGGTGACTAACCAACGCCAAGCCTCCCGCGGCGCTTGCGGCGCTTCCCCGCCGCAGCAATTATTGTAGAGAATACCAACATATAAATAGTGGATATACGTATGGAACTTGATCTGCCTGCTGTGCATTTTTCATATCGCCATGGATCCTGATTATAAGACCAAATACGCCATCCATGAGGCCGCCCGAGAAGGACAAAGTATTTCCCTTCTATCTCTCGAAATGCTCGATGGATGCTGATAAGTGTTAGCTTCTGTGGTGGAATCTCTGCTCAATGTGAGCTCTGCCCCGCTGCCACCAAGGCGAAAATCCAATTGCCATTATATTGCCCTGGCGCTTGTTTTAAGGGTGATCGCATAACTAATCTACGGTTCCCGATTATGCGTCCAGGCAAATCCAAAATTGGCATTTCTAAAAGATCCCGATGGCCGCCTTCCCATCCACTGGGCGGTAGCGTATAATCGATTTCAAATTGTAGAACTCCTAGTCGAAATGCCAAAGTTTGATCCTGACGAAGTGGTCTGTCGCTCTACTCGACAATTTCGCTTTTCTTTCCCCCTATCATTTCTAAATGCTGTGGAAAGCGGGACCTGACCGGAAAGTTTAATACCAGGATGCATCAGGATGGACACCCCTCATGATTGCGGCGAGCCTGAAAGACAGCGAAGGAGACCCGATAATCGAACTCTTGCTACGTAAAGATGCCGATGTCAATATGCAAAGTGTTAACGGCCAAGTCAGTTTTGGTTTATTATGCCGTTCACTTCATTATTATGGGAGGGTACTAAACAGCTAACTCACCACGTCCCCCATGTCGACTGAAACAATCGCATACAGAACGCTCTCCACTTCGCAAGTTCAAAAGTCAACGTGTCTACTGTCCGTCTGCTACTAGCGCACAATTGCAGCGCAAGGCTCAAAGATAACCGTGGCCAATTAGCCTTACACCGTGCTGCGGCTGTCGGATCCGTGCCGATTATCAAGATGCTGCTACAGGAGGGCAAGAGCCCATTAAACGCAACGGATGTGGACGGATCGACTGCACTGCATCATGCTATCGCTGAAGGAAATGGGGAGGCTGCCCTTGTGCTACTGCGAGCCGGTGCGGAAGTAGATAAACGAGATAACAGTGATAAGCTGGCTATTGAATTGGCTCCTGACTCCAAGGTATGCTTCCTTCTCTGGTCCATAGGCAAAGACGCATGGGCGTGCTGAACAATGCTTTTCCTGGTTCTTATTATAGGTGCGGAAATATATACTTGAATCTGCAGAGCGGGAAGGTATTGAGTTGGCTTGATACTGTTCTTGACCCCTTTTTCTTTCATATGTCATATACGATGGCTACGACGTAACCTTCCAAAGAACACTCCTGACGTTACGATATACGTATTTAATGTATGATTAAGATTTCTTCTCTAAAAGACGTGAAAAGACATGGATGACCGATGACGCCATCACCACATACTTGCAAGATCTATCCAACATATAAAATAGAGAGCACCCCCCGTAAATATGCCCTTCTATATACATGAACATGACACATAAAATAAAAAGCATACAAGGTGCTGAAACCTCGCGCCAGCCGCCACTCAACGATCACATCCTCCCCAATACCATTACCATATGATTTCGTTCTTCAACTCCCCTCACTTCATCGTGCTATCCACCAACTCGCGATATATCTTCTTCAAATCCGATATATCCGCCTTCAGCTCCTCAACCAACTCGCTCTTCTCCCCCAGCATCTCCAACGTAGTCTGATACCGCTGATCGAGCTGCTCGACCGTCGCTTCCAGCTCCTGTATCCGCTGATCGCATTTTCTCTTTTCCTCCACCTCACGCATCAGCTCCACAACTTCCTGCCGCGCCTCGTCGCGCTGCGCAGTTAGTCGGACAATTTCGTCCTTGAACGCGGCCCGCTCGCTTTCCAGGCGGCGGATGGTGGTGCTCATGCGCTCGACAACTTGGACGGAAGGCCCCGCGGCGACTGTCGAGACGGAAATGATATCGTTGACGCCGCGTGAATGGTGGGTGCGGGTTCCTTGCGCGGATGGGGTGACAGGCGTGCTCATGCCGATGAAATATTCTTCAGGCTCGTAGGTTTGGGCGTGAGTGAGATCGCCTGAGAATTCATGAGAGGGAGTGATGCGAGGTTGCTGCGGGTTGGAGTTTGTGGGTGAGAAGTGATTTTGGTAGGGTGGTGTGGTTAGCTCAGAGAAGAGGGCCGGTGGGATTGAGGAGGATCTACGGCTCAGCGCCCGGTCGGACGTGGGCCGAGTGGGATCGGGGACGGCCATTTGTTTACGGTTGAATGTAATGGGTGATCCCGTTGGGGGTTCCTGGAGGAAGGGGGATGAAGGTCGCCGAGCGAGTTCTTGCCATCTTGCCCTTTCCTCTTCAAGCCGTTGTATTAGCGTTAACTCCGCCTCCTTTTGTTTAGCGAGGTCCTGTTTGACAACGAGAAAGTCGTTCTCTGCTTTTGTGAGTTTGCGTGTTAGGATTTGGATTTCCTGCTTTGATGCTTCGAGGTTCCTCTCTATCTCCTGGATGACGGCTCGGGAATTCTCCAATTCACCTTCGACTTTCTTGGCTTTGAGGCTCTGTTTAAATAACTATTAGTGATTTCGTTATCATTGATTAGGGCTCTTTTGAACAGTCATACCGCTTCACGGGCTTTCCTCCGCAAGTCCCCTTCCCTCCGTTCGAGCTCATCTCTTTCTGTTTCGACAGCGGTTAGGCGTGCTATTAACGATCCTTCTATTCCATGCCAGTTCTCGCTGGCAACAGCATACTGGGTTTGTAGTACTTCGATCTGGCGAAGGAGCTTTGCATGCGATTCGCCGGTTGCGCTTGAAGACACTTCCTCCGCCCGCGATCGCAGGCTTTCCATTTTACTCTCGAGCACAGACTGTTCACCGCGAAGTTCAATTTCACGGATTCTCGCGCGTTCCTTCTCCCTCTCAATGCCTTCTTTCAAATCTCTGATCTCCCTTCGAAGCTTTTCTTCGCTGATCTCTCGTTCTATCTTGGCGCTGGAGAGGTCATCCCTAAGCTCGGCTATTTGGCGTTTTTCGGCCTCTGTAGCTTCCATCCGAGCTTTCCTTTCGGCTGCTTCAGCTCTTGACACAGCTCTTGCCAGCTGAGATTTCAGATCTGTTATTGTTGCGTTACATGCCTCACGTTCTGCGGTCGCGGTTTCAAGTTGTTTTTCGGCTTTAGACACAGAATTTAATCTTTCTAAGGCCTTCCGCTCCGCGATCTCCGCTTGACTCGCTCGATCCTCTGCATTTACTAAGTCCTTCTCAACCTTCTCTAGCCTCTTTTTAGTCTCAGCTTGCGACTTCGCACTCTCTGCAATACTTTGTCGTAACTTTTTAATGGTTGCTCGGTGATCCAGCTCGGTTTTTGAAAGTTTTTGGCCTTCCTCCATTAAATTCGCAATCTGCTCATCCTTTTCAAGAAGCTTTTTCTCGAGACTCCCGGCTTCCGCAGATGCTGCGGCATTTTTGGCGGACTCCGCAGCCTCCTTTGCTAGATATTTTAATTTTGATTGCAAAGCATCGATTCTCTCAATATATGCGTGTAGTTCTTCTTGCCATCGGAGCTCTGACATTTCATGATCCGCTCTCACTTGCGCCATGGCTCCTCCATAGTCATCCGTAGATGTTTCCGTTGGTTCTGTCACTCCTATTTTAGGGACGGAGTTTTCTACAGCCCTTGAAACGACATGCCCATCTCCTGAGGGGCTAGTTTCTCTCTGGCCATCCTCGATATGGGAGCCATTAGGGTTTTCATCCGCATCTAAGCGGATATCGTTTGAAGTCCGCGGCGGAGGTTGAATATCTTGGCTTGATCGAGGGATAGGAGATGACGACATTGACGCACTGTCGTATCTCATAGCACTAGTATCCCCCCTTGCAGTAACGCTATCAAGGCTTGTCCTGTGATTGTGGCCGGGAAGCGGGCTTGTGGCTCGTGAAAGTGTTTCTGTAGGGGAAATAGGGCTCCCTGTGGCGCTTTCTCGTTTAGACATTGCCCGCGCCAAGCGCTCTTGAAGACGATCGTTCGCTCTCGAGGTGGAAGGGCTCCTAGCGGGTGCTGTGGGACGGGTTAGACAGACAGACTCCCTGAAACGAAGAGACAAAACGGGGGACAAATGTCGCGTTGCGTACCAGGTGAAACAGATTTTGCAAACGACATTGGGGCCTGCAGCGATGGCTGCGGTGGTGGTTTGCCTCCCTTATCAACATCCTTGACCCCATCTTCCTCGTCCTGGTCAGCCAGAATCGTGTCCAGCCTGGATTCGACTCCCGCAATTGCTTGCTGGAGGAAACCGCCCCATCTTGACTGCTTTGTGGGCTGAGGGTTTGTCGACATGGTGTATTGCCCCACGAACCGCTATCAGAGCTAACTCCCACGTACGCGGATTCCCCAGACCACTGTCATTGAGCGGGAGCGTGTCAAGGCCAGTCTGGCATGTGCTCAGTAGAGCTGCTCAACAATTCTTGAAGCAAGGCAGGCGGGCCTCCTGCGGTTTGCACCAATCAGCCACCAACCGAGTGGGTTGAGTCGTCAGCTCACAGGTGGACAATCTCGCAGGATATCAGAGCATTCCAAAAGCCAGCTGGAGTTATAGCTAACCAAAACGAGACCGATAATATCCAGCTCTGTGCAGAGGACATATCTCTATAAAACATAACCTGTAGCTCGCCTGCAAGAAGTCGCAAGTCGCAAGTCGATGTCTGTGTTTGTATGGTTGGGCTTGGCACGCAACCGCCTAGCGCCGCGGCTGAGCTAAGTAGAAGCCACCGTAATCCGTCATCGATCACCGGAACTTACAACTTGTCCCTTGTCCCTTGCTTGTCCCTGCAAAACAGTCTGCCGCGGAACACCATACCGTTGACGTCTCCCAGGCTGCAGTGTTCCAGCTACGAGACGTCGCCCCCTATTTTCTCATCGCCAGTGACGATGTCGTTGGATCCGCCTACCTATCTTAGTTCTCTGCAGAACAACATCCGTGCCCGGCCTATACCCTGGGAGGGCGCTGTTCGAGCAGGAAATATCACCGAGGACCAGCTCAAGCGCATTAAGGTTGTCGACAAGGTGCGCAAGGAAGTGCGGCAGAAAACCGTGGGGAATGATTTGAAAACCTATGCAACGCTGCTTGTCGGCGGAAGCGGCGGAAAGAGTATATTGGAGTCCGCATCACGGCGGACGGATATAGTCCAGTACATCTTGGTTCTTGCGGCGGACCTGATCAATGGTATACATATATCCTTATGTTTCAATAATAAAAACATGTTTTCCATTAACGGTAGTCTTAGATACCCCCGCTCTCGCCTCGCTTCTGATTCAGGAGCCAGAGCGTTACCGACACTACCTTCCTCTCCTCCAACACTCCTCGAACCCAGAGGACCCGATACCTCTCCTCGCCTCCGCTTTCTTGACTAGCCTTGTTTCGACATCGCTGGTATCGAATAAAAAGCCCACGGTGCCCGATTCAGAGGCCCTTCCTCGACTATATTCGTACCTCTCGACTTTGACCGTGAGCCAAGATACGGGATTACAAGACATTGGTGTCCAGCAGTATTCTGCATTGTTGAGAACCAAACGATCCAGAGAAATATTTTGGAGCCAGAGGGCCACGACAATCGATCCGTTAATGGATATTCTCCGCGCTGCTGCGGGTTTAAAGGACAACAATGACTCAAGCACCATAGTCGGATCATCAACTATTCGCAGCCTCGAATCAGGTATCGGTGGAGGAGTAGGCTTACAACTTCTATATCACGTCCTCCTTGTGATTTGGCAGTTAAGCTTCGAAGGAAGCCTGATTGGCCAGGAACTCGAATCGTATGAGACTCACCGTCGTCCTGAATCAAATAATGAAACTCCCTGTTGATAGGTACTTTTTCTGACACCTCTTTTCCTTCAGAGAACAAGAAATTATTGCTCTATGCACCCACCTACTCCGTCTTTCACCCAAGGAAAAAACCACGCGCCTCCTCTTGTCAACACTCTACAATCTCCTCTCCACCAACCGTGCCAGCCTTCTCCCAGTGGCCGTATTCCTCCGTCTCCCAGCCCTCCTCAGCAATCTCAGTGGCCGCCACCTCTCTGATCCAGATTTGCTGGACGACCTCAACGCTCTCTCAGACATGCTGGAAGACTACACCAAAACACAAACCACGTTCGACCAATACACGGCGGAGGTGCAGACAGGCCATCTGCGCTGGTCCCCGCCCCACCGCAATGTGACCTTCTGGCGAGACAATGCCCGCCGCATCCTCGACGAAGACCGCGGCCAGATCCCCAAGAAGCTGGCGGAGATCATGTCAAAGGATTGGGACACGCACACGCACGTTCTGGCGATTGCGTGTAATGATATCGGGTGTCTGGTAAAGGAGGTGCCGGAGAGACGGCAGCAGTTGGAAAAGCTGGGGCTTAAGGCGAGAGTGATGGAGTTGATGGCTGATCCGGATGAGACGGTTCGGTGGGAGAGTTTGAGGGCGGTGGGGGAGTGGCTGAGGTATACATTTGAAAAATAGAATGGCTGCTAGGTGTTCCCTACCCCCTTCTCTCTCTCTCTCTCTCTCTCTCTCTCTCTCTCTCTCTCTCCCCCTCTCTCTCCTTGGTATCATTTAATCCTCTTTTGTTTTGATCTGTCTCGATTCTATTCGAAGCAAATTCACTGTGCAGTGTGGAAATAATAATCTGGGCGTTTCTGGTACCTTAGTTGTTTTCCTCCCTTCTCTTATTGGTTTATGTGTGTATGTGTGTATATGCTGCTTTGCTCTTCATTGACTTGATGTTGAGAGCCGTTGTTGTGAACTATAATTGCTAGATCTGGAACCTAATTCATTCTTCAATTTGGACTTTTAACCGGAAGTGTATATTGTGTAAGGACCACGGTATATAATAAGATTTCAGGTTTTCGCCGCTGGGCTTAGCGATTGAACTTTCTGTAGGCTATCAGCAGAAAATCTACTACTGCTACTACTACTACTACTACTACTACTACTACTACTACTACTACTACTACTACTACTACTACTACTACTACTACTACTACTACTACAGGCTGAAGCGCAAATTCCACAGCTGGTTCAGAAATGTTTGACAGAAAACTAACTGCAATAAATTTGCAATGGGATCTACAACGAATCCATGATTTTCTAGAAATTTCGCATTCCGCAAACTCTCACCGGAATTGATGGTCAACGGGTATGGCTCGGGAGCCCCGCATTCGAACGTCGATTATCAAAAAGGGTCGATGGCCGTCTCGTAGAGTGCGGGCAGGCATCTCTCCGTCCTATCTGCACACAAGCGGATGGCAATGGCAGCAAAGCAGCCAGATGTTTTTTGACTTGCGATTTTTTGGAAAGTCAAGATTTGCCGTTAAAGGTGTTTCCGAGTATCAACATCTAGTGGTTGCAATCCAAAAAGCCCTGGGATATCCCCTCATCGGGTTGCCGAGGTCTCCTAATAGGCGTCGAATCGCTGGCGCCGCCCTCTAGAAGGGGCCAAGGGCTGGTCTTGCATTTTTAGCCTGGCTTACTCTTGTCGCTGCTTAATAGTATGTTCACTGACTGCTGCTTTGCTTTCTCCTCTCCTCTCCACTTCAATTCCAGAAAGCAGATAGAATATCCTTCGCACCAGAAAGGGATTCCGAGAAAAAAAAAAAAAAAAAAAAAAAAAAAAAAAAAAAAACCTTTGAAAGAACCTCATTATTACAACCAACCGCCTCCAAATCTCCCTCCACCTAACATCTAACATGTCAACAAACGCCGACTCCTCAACCCCCGCCAGCATGGGTAAACCCCCACTCAGACCCATCCATCCCGACTACCACCTCCGCGACGGCTGCCCCAGCGTGCCAGACTACGTCAGACTCCGCAGCACCCCAAACCTAACGCCCAAGACGGCTGAGCAGGCCACCCTCGCCATCGCCGGCAGCTGGTTCGGCTGCTACGTCGTGCACACCGCGACAAACACCCCCGTCGGCATGGGCCGCATCATCGGGGACGGCGGCTGGTGTTTCCACATCGTGGACATAGCGGTGGCGACGGAGCACCAGCGCAAGGGGCTAGGCGATGCCATTATGGCGAGGCTGATCGAGCGCATTAGAGAGTTCGCAGCGCCGGGGGCGAGTGTTTCGCTCTTGGCGGATCCGCCGGGTAGGAAGCTGTATGCTAGGCATGGCTTTGAGGATACGGCGCCGTATTCGGTAGGGATGGCAGTTTTGCTATGACCTATGGTTGGGGCGGTTGTGAAATGTGGGTTGTGTGTATTCGCGCTCTTTTCTTAGAATCTCTGTATTGGATTGCGATGTATAAAAACCCTAGTGGCCGTTGATGGTGCGTTTTTTCTTTCCAATAACAATAATTATATTGTAATGGGATCAATCGTATAATTGTAATGAAACAAACGGTTGAAGGAGAGGAAACGACTGAAAGAGAAACCAAAACGGAAGATGAATGAACAGAAAAGCTCAACAAGAGTGGAAATACACCCAAAAATAGAAGCCAAACAGCGGGATAGTAAAATGCACCAAATTTTGTATACAGTAGTTCCCTTGAGTGGGATTGAAGAAGTGAGAGAAAAGAATCACACAACAGCGGCAAGTAACGCAAGTTTCCTCTAAAAATCATCGTCGTCGTCATCTACATCTTCATCAGCTCGGTTCTTCCGTCCTCCTCGTTCGGCAGGCTTCCGACTCAGCCTGGACATTTCATGTTCTTCCGTTGCATTCCTGGCTCCGGACATGGCCATTGCCTGGCGGCCAGTGTCTGAGGCTTCCAAAAACTCGCGCAGCCGTCGTTTGCCCTCCTCCACCGCCTGATGTGATGCGGCCTCCGTCATTTTGATGATAGGGCCCCAGAGATTTAGCTGGTATGTAATATATGCGCCAATAGCACACACGAAAAGGAGGAGGAAGTATACAGGGTTCCGAAGCACTAGATAAGCAATGGTATTGATTAATTTTCCGCGGTTTTGTTAAGATATGAAGTAATGCCAAAAAGAATAGTACTAAAAAAACTCCTGTGAGTTGCTTACCGGCAAGAATTTCATTCCAGCCAAGTGCAAAGAGCAAGCCATAAAAGTATAACGGCACTTGAGTGATGCCTCCGATTGCACTTCTCTTCGCTTCGACATACACGCCATCCGCGGTTTTCTTGAACCGGACTGTTATATCCTGTTTCTTCGCTTCGCCGATCAAGGTCATTTCTTCCTCCAGGCTCTTCCCCTCGTCATCATCGACGCCTCCAATCGGTGTGAGATCCTCTTCATCCGCAGGTGTTGCCGAGCTTGGTGTGTGCCCAATCCATTTGTCGAGTGGGGGAGGTGCGTTGGTCTCTGCAAGTTTAAAGCGTGCAAGGAGAGGGATAAGGGTGAGTGTGGACTCTCGAGCTTGTGAATACACGCTTTCAATGTCATCGGTCGGGCGCCAGATTCTAGGAACGCCAGCGTCGTCATATCGGAATTTGTCTTCGAAATTCTCGCGGAGCTTTAAGAGCAGATTGCCCTCCATCATTTCCTCGTCGATTTTAGCTCGTAGAACCCCCCATGATTTTCTTCTTAATCTCCATAGACCGACATCTACCTCGTCCAAGCTGGCGTCAAAACTGCTTGCTCGTTCCGTGAACCTCCTTTCGGCATCAAGGACCGTGTCCACAAAGAGAGTCCAGACGCGATCCCAAATGGTTTTCTCCGAAGGTTTGTCACCGAACTCCGGAGCACCAGAACCGCCTCTTCCTGACCCAAGGGCATTAAACTCTAAATCAACCGATTCACCTAGTCGGGACCGCACCCACCGCTCAACTCTCGTTGCCAATCGTCGCATTTCATCTCTCCGTAGTTGTCCGCTGGTTCTCTCCAGGTCCTTTTGATATAATGATAACTCCTGCTGGTAATTGCTCCAGGGGGCGTCTTCCACAAGTGTAGATCGAGCTTCCTGCTCGAATTTCTCAATCGCTAGCTTCCTTTGCTTCCTCACTATTTCAGCAAAATCATAACTGGCGCCTTTCTTCTGGCCCGCTTTCACCGCAGCACTGACGGACTCGCTGAACTCTTGTACTCCAGACCTATGCGCCGCACCCAGTTGGCCAAGGAAAAGGGCTTTCAGTCGTGTGTCGATCTTGTCCTGCAGCTCTGCTTTTTTCATTTGATATACACGCTTGTGGTATCGACAAGCCTCGGTGTCGAAGTTCTTCACGGCTTTCATGCGCGCATTCCGCATTGCCGGGCCAAGCCCACCCAGAACCTCAGGGTAACCCGCTTGGACGGCTTCTGCTTGCTTCAATTCGAATGGACTGATAGCTTCATCGAATGCAACTAGAGCTTCACGTGATATTTCATCGCAGCGGAATTGAGCAAGAAGCTCCTGCTGGGTTGGTAAGTCCAGGTCCTTGTTGTTCACGATTTGATCCCAAACACCCTCCGCATAAACAGCGAAGCCATCCGCAGGTATCCTTCGGTGGTATTCGGGAAGGAATATTCCCCCTTCAATCGAACCCGTTCCCTTACGATCGAGGCTATTAGGGTCACGATGACCTTCGCGGAAGCGAGTGCTGAGTTTTTGCACCTCATCCATAAATTTATCCGGCTGGAAGTTCTTATGGGGAAGCCCAGCGAATGCGAAATCGAAGTAATCATTGATTGTCGAGTTCTCCAGCCCTGCAGGTTTCGAGAGTGAGCTCCATATCCGGTTCAGATCTTGTAACAGCGTATTCTGTAGGTTCTGAAGCGGGGTAGTTCCTAGAAAGTCTCGGATGACGAAGAAGAGGAGAGATCGCGGGGTTGACCTTTTAATTATGGGATTAGTCCAGGCAAACTAGGAAATGTTCCCCAAAACACACAAAAACGGTTCAACATACTTGTTGTCCTTCAAGAAGAGCTCCAAATTCACCTCAAAGACAGTTTTCAATAGTCCCATATTGGCACCTTGATATAAGCCAACTTGGTGTTCCCAGATATTGACAATGAGAACCTCACTTGTCGCCAAGGCAAACAGTGCGCTCTTCCTCTCAAAGTCCTGATCCTCGCCTCGCTCTCTGCCATCAGTCCCCTCAACGTCCATAACAAGAATATTGTCCGCCATCTTCGCTTGCGGATCACGGTCCTTGCGCAGCTCAAGCCTTTTGTTCTTAGATAACCAGATTCCCTTCGTCGTCTGGCGTCGCTCCGTCTCCGACATTACACTGAAGTGGGTACCGAACAGGTTGTTCAGCAGCGTGGATTTGCCTGTCGATTGCGATCCAAAGACGGAGATGAGGTGGTAGTTGAATCCGGCCGGGGTGACATTTTCGTAAGTGAGATACTTTGATACATTGGGGCTGTTTTATATCGCCACGAGCAGAAATTAGTATATATGAGTATATATATGGGTAAAATTGAATGTCGGAGCAGCCAAAGAGAAAAGTCAATGTAATGCGTACTTGAATTCCTTGTCCTCATCAATCACCTGGACTCCGTGCTCGTAGCTGCTCGAGTGCTGTCCATCCGCACTGCCCGCAAAGTGCCCGTTCGCAACCATGATTGCTAGCCGTTCTTGATTCTGATCAGGCTTCTCTTTTTTCCCCCCAAGTCTTTGTGAAACGGACCCCAAGACACGAGGGTGAAAAAGTTAAACACTCTTTTAAATACCTTTCCCCCTTCCTTCCCAAGCCTAAAGAATGACGATTTTGCGACGTGGTGAAGTTAGATGCTCGCGAAAGCAACGTATGCCATATGATCGACGGGAGTCTCGAGATAGGCCACTTCCCCACAACTATGAATAAAGTCTCAGGAAATTGACTATTAGTTAAATGCGTTGCTTCTCTGCTTCCGAGCTATATCCGCTATTGGCTTCGTCCCTTTTACTTTGTGCCCGCTTTGTCGATCCCCTATTTGCTTGGGGGGGGGAGGGGGGAGGTTTGGGCTTCCGAGAGAGGCGACGGATATGGCGTTCCTGGTAGCACAGGAGGGTTTAAAAGAGAACGACAAGAGCGAGCACGAGATGGTGGAGTAACAAACAGCGATAAGAATAACAGTTACTGGGGCTTCAGCTGACTTTGAGCTGTGCCCATAGAAGCTGGCGGGAGGACGTGGGACTGTTGTTCTCGTTCTGTTTCTCGGTTGCCCAGATGCGCGGGAGCTACGCCTCCTAGTATGGAAGGTCACATAGACATGGACATTGGATATACGATCTGTCCAACCGGGTTAAGCTGTTTCATTTTCAGCGTAGGACCTCCTCTCCTCGCTACGTTCATTTGCATCAGCAGACTGCTGCACTGATCAGGCATCTGATTTTTGCCAGAGTGAGAATTTGCTTCACTTCCAAGGTTGAGTCCAAATCGACGTGTATTTTTTCTTTAACTTTTTCCTTCTTCTACTTCTTCTAACAAAATAAATAAAGGGGGACAACGGAATTTTATCTATATTCAAATAAACGTATGTCCAAAGCACAAACTTTTTAAAGCACTCTCTCCTTCTCTCTCTCTCTCTCTCTCTTTTAAATTACAGAAACTAACTCTTAAATAATAATACACAAATCCAAACAACACCGAGCAAAACACGCAAGGAAACGGCTAAAACAACAAAGCTTATTCTTTCAGAGTGCCAAAGAATTCTTCAAGAGTACTTGCAAAGAATTGCTCTTCAAAAGTTGCGCCGAAACTGGATTGGGACGCGAACAAGACCATGTCAGCAGCCGTACACACATTCCATGACCATCAAAATTACGGATATTATGATGATAGTTCGACCCGAGGAGGTCTAGGGAGAAAAAGGGAGATGGCGGGACATAACATACCCAAAACACTGTACTCCTGCTATCAACGCCTGGCTCAACTGCTGCAGTCCTTCTCGGTTGAGCTTATGGAATAGTGGATGTTGTTTGATCCGCATCCACATCTCAACCGGGGTGAGCTCGCCGTCCAGGTGGAGGGCCGAAGACAACTCGAGTAGCCTGTCGAGTTCGCTTGCGGGGATCTGCCACGAGGTGCAGTCGTCTAGCACCGTGGGAGCTTGGGTAAGAAGAGGTGCTAGTGCAGTGAAAGCGTGTCCATTCGGCTCTTCGGCGTCTTGAAGTTGATGTACATGGTATATACAACATCGTTCCATGCTACGAAGTGTTAGTTTAGGTGCGCGCGTTAGCTGACCGGGGCTCAAGATGGTTTTTTTTTTATTTATTTATTTTGAATGTTGAAGGGGGATGTGAAAAAAAGAAAAGAAAAGAAAAGAAAACAAGGGACTTGAGCAAGGAAGCAGGACGTACAATAGCACGAAATCCACGCCAACCTGGGTCGTATCGAGACCATATGGATGGCCAGATCCAGGGATTGGCTGCTGAGATGGACCCGGAGAAGCGAGCTGGGTTGACTCTCCAGAGCTGGGAAGCCCACCACGCTTCTCATAGTTGATGACCGAAAGCACCGGCTTATCCGCCGGCGGCTTGTCAGGGATGCCGAATCCGACCGGGAAGACTGGCTCCATAGGCGAATCACCGAGAGACACTTGAAGCCGTTGTCCGAACCCACGACTGCCGATGACGGAGACAGTGGCCATGGGTTTACTGTACGGTTGCCGATCTTCTGAACTGGGATTGATGCTGGTACTTGGAAGCGGTAAACCGTGCTCCTGCACGATATCCCTCAGGATGGTGTTCTCCTCAGCTACCTGATGCGTCTCGGATTGGAGAGATGATGATTCATCCCGAAGCCGGTGAAGCTGGTGCTCAAGGGACTTTATATATTGCTCCTTCCGTTCTCGATGATTGCTGGGAGTGTGTATTATTGTCAGCCGGCCTGGTGTTTTAACCCTGTGGGGTATATCGAGGTATATATGTATATGGATCGATGCACGTATCACCTATCACATGGGACAGGGGTATGTATGCAGGGAGGGATAAGGGAACTTGCCGTTGCGCCCTTCTGACTTGTTCGCGTCTTCGAGCGTAGGCGGACTGGGACGTATCAGGTGCGGTACCTTCCTCTAGTCCTATAGTTCAGTAGATAGTCGAAACTATAATTTCGGGAAGAAAAGTCGAAGAGAGAGAAGGGGAAAAAAAAAAAAAAAAAATCAGAGGGAAAAGAACAACGAATTTGCAGATGCAGATGGGAGAGACAAAACTCTGGCCACTCAGAGAATTCCCACTGCTGTTGTATGATGGAGGAAGAAGACAAAGCGCTCCAAGTTATGCATATCTGAAGGCAACGGACACAGACGCACGCATAGATATAGAGTAATGTAGAATATATGCATTCGGTATGGTCAATCCTCTTGGTGGGGAATGTGGTATGGAATCAAAAGCAGGATTTCTCATCATGGACTCCGCTTTAGAATAAGCCGAGGATGCTCATCATCGCACTACAGCCACCAGATGCAACTCGAGGGCGCAACTCGAGGCCAGCGACATGGATTGAGGACAGTGCGCAGTTGGACAAGAGGGGGCCAATACCAACTATTCGGGGGCAGAAAAGAAAAGAAACCTTATAAAAGTAAAATGCCACACAAACCAGCAGATCAAATGATTTTATTTATTTTTTTTTTATTATTATTGTATATACATCTGGTGTATTCCTTTGTCTAGTACGGAGTACTCACCTTCAGCATCTCCAGATTCCTTCTTCGAGATATGGAGCTTTTCCTTGGCCTTTCTCCACAGCGACTCGGCCGTGTCGCTGCTGGAGGTTCGCAGCAAGGCCGCTGGTTTCTGCAGGGAGTGCGACATGAAGAATGACAAATCTTACCTCCTCCTCAGTAATTCAAAGAGGGCTGCGATGGATATATCATGGGACGCAACGTGGCAGGGCAGGTTTAGGCTGATGATAGAGGAGGACTTTGCCACCAGTGGCCCAATGAGGGACGGCGCAAGGGAAAACTTGGTTTTGGGCCCCGGGTTAATTCCAAATCGTCTCGAGGTCTAAATGTCTTAGCTCGGGCTTCCCGCGGATCCTTCGACAAACCCATGGTTCCCGAATCCCGACACAGGAAGCAGAGCTCAGGCGTGGACTCTGTGAGACGATTGGGGGGGGCGCTTATAGATAAAAAATACTACTAATATCCCGGATATTGCCCGAAAGTGGGAGAGTCTGAAAGCTTCCAAGTGGGGATTTCAGGGAGGATTAATCATATTGTTTTTGATCGGTCTAGATGGGAGTCGAGAGGGGGCGCATTTTCTGTTGTACAGCAGGAGGGGAATTTTGAAGAAAGAAATCGAAATTAAAACCACAGGTCTATAGAAGAGCACCCAATAGAAACACAGGATGAAACAGGAACGAAAAAGAAGGAACCCCATAAAAGAAAAAAAAAAAAAAAAAAAAAAAAAAAAAAAAAAAATTCCCCAGATAAGACTCCAGACACATGTTTGGGCATTTTGCTAGCCCCGCTTCCCATTTTGTTCCCACAAGAATATACACATATCTTTGTAAAAAAAAGTTCACAAAACTAACCCCAATGGCTGTTGTCCGGGCAAATTTCTCACTCTATTCCTCCAAGACACGCGTGACAAGGCCGGTCGCGACAGTGCGGCCTCCCTCACGGATGTTGAATCGCTGGCCGGCTTCAGCAGCCACGGGGCGGTGTGTCTGGAGGATCATCTCGACGTTGTCACCAGGCATAACGAGTTTGCTTTCATCTGCTCCACTAGGGAAGCTGAAATGGGCGGCTTCGTCTGTAATCAAAGAGGTTAGTTAATTTCGTGAATCAGGCAAGTTGAAAAGGAAAAAAAAAAAAAAAAAAAAAAAAAAAAAAAAAAAAAAGAGAGAGAGAGAGAGAGAGAGAGAGGAAAAGGAAAAAAAGAAAGAATTATGAAAAGGGGCTCCAGTTTAACATACCAGCTGTGCGGATGAACATTTGAGGACGATAGTTCTGGCCGAATCCGGTTCGGCGACCACCCTCAGCTTCGGTCAGGACATACATCGACACCAAGAACTTGTCGTGGGCCTTGACGCTGCCAGGAACGGCAACTACCATACCACGGCGGATATCTTCACGCTTGATACCACGCAATAAAAGACCGGAGTTGTCCCCAGCTCTAGACTCGTCACAGGATTTCTTGAAAGTTTCGATATCAGTTACCTTCGTCCTGATGGGGGTGGAGCCGCCCCCAATTAGCTCGACTTCTGAATCCTTCTTGAGGACTCCGCGCTCAACACGGCCGGAGGCAACGGTTCCACGGCCGGAGATAGAGAATACTTCTTCAACGGACATCAAGAAAGGTTTTTCGGTATCACGTTGTGGTGTGGGGATCCAAGTATCAACAGCCTCCAGCAATTCATCAATTTTCTTCTCTCCCAACTCAGGCTCACGGCCTTCCATGGCGCAAAGGGCAGAACCAAAGATGATGGGTGTCTCTTCACCCTCGAATCCGTAGGTGTTTAAGAGCTCTCTCATTTCTAACTCGACAAGCTCCAACATCTCCTTGTCCTCAAGGGCGTCGACTTTGTTCACGAAAACGACGATCTTTTGGACACCGACCTGTCGGGCAAGGAGCAAATGCTCACGTGTTTGAGGCCTAATAGATACGTTTCCGAATATTAGTATCATCATGCTCTCAGAAACAAGGGGGCCTAAAAAGCATAAAACCTTCAGCACTCTCTCGCGGCGTCTTACATTTGGCCGTCAGCAGCAGCAACAACGACAATAGCACCATCCATGTTTGCGGCACCCGTAATCATGTTCTTGATGTAATCAGCATGGCCAGGACAGTCGACGTGCGCGTAATGTCTTTTGTCGGTCGAATACTCAATATGGGAGGTAGAAATTGTAATTCCACGCTTCCGCTCCTCAGGCGCTCTGTCAATAGCTCCATATTCCAGGAAGCTTGCCAGCCCTTTCTCGGCTTGGCGTTTGGTAATAGCAGCGGTCAAAGTAGTCTTTTACATTAAATATTAAAAGTCAGTTAGAAACAGGACATAATCGCCCAAGAAATTTAGGAAATGAAGAGAAATCTAACCTTTCCATGATCGACGTGGCCGATGGTACCTAAAAACAATATTCTAAGACAATGATACATGCAATGATAAACATCAAAAATAGACGAGATTCAACTCACCGACGTTAACGTGAGGCTTCGATCTCTCAAAAACTGTTGCCATTCCTCTGAAGGCTGTCCGGTCTTGGAGAAGGGCATGGCGGATTGGGTTGACACCTCTAGGTCTTTGCAGAGCGAATCTGCCAGTCCGCAGCAGGGCACTAACAGATCTGGAAATATTAGCCATCTTGACAGTCCTTGGCAATCCTTCAATGGGGCGAGTTGGTGGAATTGACAAGAGTCGATGGATGCAAATTGATTTGGCCTTGATCGAGATATATTTTCCCTCGTCCTAAAAGTTGGCGGCCAAAAGTTTTTCGGGAGGTGCTTAGTCATCGATCGTGCTTGGCTTCGAAGTTCCCCGATTGAAGAAGTGCTCAGAAGCCTCATACTATACAAAGCCAGAAAGAGGAGATGGAGCATCTCATCGTGTATAGAATTTCTATGATATCTCGTATAGAGCTTCTATGTATAGGTTCATCATTTGAAGGATAGCGCTGTCCGAATAGTTGAGCGTGTTGATTCGGGGCAGTTCTTCTTTGGCATCTATCATACTATTATTTACTGTACAGTGCAATTAATCAGGTCCGGCTGCTCTTGGTCATATCCATGGATACCTCTTTCAGGCCTGCAATATAATATATAATACAAGTTCCCCCTTCGCAAGCACGTCATGGCCGCTTCGACTTTTCAGCATATATAGTAAGTCGTCCCAACAATGTCCCTTCCATTTTCTTAGTCTCCACAGCACCCATCTCCGCAATCTGTTCTTTTATCGTTTTAACAAGCTCTCGCGCTTTCTCTGGGGCAGGTAGTTTCTTCTTCCTCTTATCCTTCTGCAACAATATGAATTCCACTTTCTTCCCTTTCTCGAAATAGCTCTCCACCATTTTCATTCGATGTGTGAGGTCATGGCCATCAATACCCCAGTTCAACTCGACCTGCTTTAGCGAATGGCTGGGGTCCTTGGGCGCTTTCGATTTCGCCTGTAGTTTTTGCTGCAATTGCCCCTTGCTTGTGATTTTACAAATAGCGGGGCGTTCGGCGGTTTCGGGAGCAACCTGGAGAAGAACGTTTACGTAGCGATCAAAGGTGTGTAATGCAGCACCTAACGGTATTGGGTCGCCAAGTGATCCGTCCTCGTTCACTATCTGTACCCTCCGTGCGGGAATCGCTTCGTCCTTTATGAGACCATTGTGGTCTTTGCCGTCCTTGGCATCCTTCTGTGGCCCGTATGTCCGCTGGAGATTTGCTGGACGGGGTTGCGGTCGACGTATCGTCTGGGGTTCCGCGCGGGGAGCCAAAGGCTGGTGCTGTCGAACGGGTTGGAAACGATAACATCTTGTCTGTTGCTCAGCGAACCGGATGCCTTGGGAATCTGCTGATGGTAGGAATATTTGGCGGAGCGTTTGCGTGGTTTTGACGAGGCTGCGGACACAATTCGCGGTTGCTGCCATGACTTGTAGATGCTACATGTACCTTTGATAGAAAAAGTTGGGCGAAGGCGACTTCGAGCCTGTAGCATATTTAAGTTAATAGTTATCAGCAGCACACGGGCCACAAGGAACGCAAAACAGACAAAACACCAGCCTACCTTGCAGAGCTGCTAGCTACTCCAAAGCAAAAGGTGTTTAAATCATGCCAGAAGCTGAAAGATCGGATGGCCCTGTCAATGACACTGACTTCAAGAAATTTTGGTTAGCCACACCTTTGGCTAAATATGTAACTGCGCCACATATTTCTAAAAAATTCCGGTGAACTTAACTTGGCAACATCTTGACAGTTTTCTTCTCCTTTTTCAACTCCTTTATCGCCCAAGTCCATGTGCTTCACGCCAACCACTGTTTGGAGCTCATTCGTTTAGCCCAACAGTATTCTAATGTGGTGTGCTTGCGATTAACTAGGATCTATGATCTCCTTGAAGGCTTGAATAGTCTCTCGCCCCTTCGTTTGCCGTGGCTTGCCTCCGCATGCATCAAACTGCGATTTCCCTTGTTACGGTCCCTTTCTTCGCGTGCTAGTTAGTATCTACATTCTCTCGATGTCAACTGGTGTACACGCTCGTGCCCGCGTCGGAATCTGGTCATATTTTCCCTTTGGCTCGAGCCCTAGGCGTCGATCCACTTCCCTTCCAGCGAAGGCCACCCGTGATCAATTTGAAAAACCAGGGAGGCATTCTGGAGATCCTCACCGCAGCTCCAAGAAATTTGGTTTTGGGGACACGTTCACAGTTGCCACGATGACACAAAGTCAGAGAACGAGATATATTAAGACCGGGGGGATAATTGCTGTTCTATTACTGTTCCTCTACGTACTGCTTCCTGGCGGTCAACCTTCCCCGAGCTCAATCAAAACCCCCGTGTCCAACTCAAAGTGTACAAAACCATATGACTCCACGAAGCCCTTGATCCAATACGCGTTGATGATCGATGCTGGAAGCACTGGCTCCCGAATCCACGTTTACCGTTTCAACAATTGTGGGCCTACGCCGGAACTCGAACATGAGGATTTCAAGATGACAGAGAAGAAGAAGGGTGGTGCTGGACTCAGCTCCTACGCTGATGATCCAGAGGCGGCCGCAAGGAGCTTGGATCCTTTGATGGAGGTTGCCCTGAAGTCGGTTCCTAAAGAATACCAGTCCTGCTCTCCAGTCGCAGTAAAGGCCACGGCCGGCTTGAGATTCCTGGGTCCAGAGACTAGCGATAAAATTTTGGATGCGGTGAGGAACCGCTTGGAAACCGTATATCCATTCCCTGTCGTCTCAAAGGAAAATGGTGGTGTTGAAATCATGGATGGCAAATATGAAGGGGTGTATGCCTGGATCACCACCAATTACCTGCTTGGAAATATCGGTACCAAGGAGCGCACACCTACAGCCGCAGTTTTCGATCTTGGAGGAGGCTCAACACAAATTGTTTTTGAACCAACCTTCAAAAGTGCAGGTGGATTAACGGAGAAACTGGCTGAAGGTGACCATAAATTTTCTTTGGATTTTGGAGGTCGACACTTTGACCTTTACCAGCACTCGCACCTTGGCTACGGGCTCATGAAAGCAAGAGATGCCATCCACAGAGCGATTGTGGAGGCCAAACACGAGTCTAGCCCAACCGACCAATCGTGGCTCTCCAAGACATTGGTCAATCCATGCCTGAGCGCTGGAACGTCGCTCACAGTGAATGTAACAATGGGGAATGGACATCCACTTGGTGAGGTTGTCGAAATCAAGATGATCGGTCCGAAAGACATATCCTCCGCAGCTCAATGCCGAGGAATCGCAGACAAAATCCTCAAGAAGGATGCAGATTGCAAGTTGGCACCGTGTTCCTTTAACGGCGCTCATCAACCACCGCTCCAGAAGACCTTTGCCAATGAAGACCTGTTCATCATGTCGTATTTCTACGACCGCACAGCTCCGCTCGGAATGCCGGAATCGTTTACTCTTCGAGACTTACAGGATTTGACTGCCGCAGTCTGCGCAGGTCAAAGTAACTGGGGTGTTTTCGAAGGGATTGGGGATGCTATCAATGAACTCCAGGAACGCCCGGAGCACTGTTTGGACCTTTCCTTTATGTTATCTCTCTTACATACCGGCTACGATCTCCCTCTGAATCGGCAAGTTAAAATTGCGAAAAAAATCAACGGCAACGAACTTGGATGGTGTTTAGGTGCGAGGTAAGCAATCTTGTGTAATATTCCTTCTATCCATGTTTACTGGAAAAAATGTAAGTTAACACAATCCAATAGTTTACCTCTTCTGAACAAGGTATCAGGCTGGCAATGCCGTGTCAAACAGGTCTCATAAACCGACATCTGATAGATACAGATTTTTTTAACGTGATTCTAATAATGAACGTTGCACTTTTCTCCCTCCTCCCCTTCTTTTGCAATTATCATTTTCTCTTTTGCGCTGGCTCGGGAAATGAGTTCATGCATGATATTTTTGTGTACTTGGGACTGTTTGCCCGGCTCCGAGCTTCCGTTTTTTAATCCCGCTTCTCTTTGTATTTGAATATTTTCTCTTTTTTTCTTCCTTTTCACCTTCGAACCGATTCACTTTCTTCTTCTGCGTTGTTTTTTCCCCAGCCGCATATTTATACGTCGAATGTACAATTATTTGCACAGAATTTTGGTCGTTTTGGGATGCCCGTCCGATATATATTTCTGTTCTTATAAGGTGGCGTAATTTTTCCTTACTCCAGCTAACAATACATTGAATTCGTCAATTGCTGATAAACCTTTCTTTCATTGACCCATCTAGGGCAGTGTCGTCGATGTTTTTTTGGCCATGTGTTGTTGAACTGGTATTCTAGATTAACCTGGAACTCGATGGGCTCCACATATATTATTCAAAAGGAGCTGCCAACTTCCACGAGAAGGACCCATGGCGGATTCGATCTCTGATCGTGTTGCACAACAAGACAAACTCAGGAGAAGCTGGCATCCATCCGACCAGGCAACGGCCACCGTCAGATAATATTCTAAGTGGTGGGGGGTGGGAGTTGGAACTGCTTCTTGAACATCAAAGCCCAGCTAGCGGAAACCAAACCACCCAAGCCCCCAAAATAGCTTGCTGCACCGGCCGCAAAATATCGGCGTTGTTGTTATTTGTTCTTCATATTTTTTTCTAAGGCTAATGCAGTCAGAGACGGCGACAGCCTTCACCTCACTAGCCTATCCTTATGTTCAGTTATTTTCTCTTACATTTCTCTATTCATAACCAAGTCATCCTTGATGAAGAGACTTCACTATATTATTCTGGATCTAGCCCTCAAGAGCGTCCTTGCCCCACAATTACTCATGCAATACTAAGCAGTCCCTTGTCACTTGAACTAGATGTGTAAGAATTACAACATCTTACCTTCTTGTCTCAACAGTGGTGGCCCCAACACCAAGTGCCTACTGGAGAAATCATTCCATGAATAGCGCCTACCACTACGCCCATGTAAACCCAAAAAATATCGGCGTGTGATACAGGCATCCAAGGCAGCTTTTTAAACCATTAGTTAACATATTTCACTGCGACCTTGGGCCGCACCAATGACCTTGACTCAATTAGTATGTGATATGACACTCCTATTATGGACTTATGCCTCAGCCATCAACTCGCTCATACTTGAAAAGAAGAAGAAACAATGACTGAAGCGGTCAAAACAGATTGATTTTCACTCATGATCACTGAATATCTAGATATGTGAACGTATGAAGGTCCAAGCCGCACCATCCTAATTGGTGCTCACCACATCAGGCTATATCAGGGTCGTGGTGAATTATTTACGTGATCGTTTACGAGACGGCACATTCTTTAGACAACCCAGCACAGTGGGAACAAAACGGCCGAGAAAATGCGGGGAGACGATGTTTCAACAAGTTTCCAGCACCATTGGCTCAGCCGGGGTGAAAAGAAATTCCTCCACTTGGGAAACAGAAAGATCTCACACATGCGCCTCGTGATGTACACAGGATTGGAAAACGGCCTATGGACATGAAGCGATGGTGGGATGTCTCCGTTCAACCGGATATATTATATATATATATATATATATATATACGTTCGAGCAACTGTGATTTCCAATATGTGTATCATACTTCTCTTTGCTAATCAAAACAAAAAGATCATCAACGAATCGATATACAGCATAGACATCCACAATGTGCGGCATTACGGCAAGTATTGCCCTGCCTCTAAGCCGTGGGTCAGGAACTGCTAGTGGTAGCACCCACCCCACTGTTGAGTCTCTGACTTGCAAACTTCAAGCATCGCTTGAGAAAATAAAACACCGTGGACCGGATGGCTCTGGCGTTTGGGTCAACGTGGATGGCAGCGTTGGACTTGGTCATTGCCGACTTTCCATCAACGACCTGACCCCCAGCGGCGCGCAACCGCTATCCAGCGATGATGGGCAAATCCACGCCATTGTCAACGGCGAGATCTACGACTTTGACCGTCTACGGGACATATGCGCCACAACTCACGGCTATAAATTCCATGGTCAAAGCGACAGCGAACTCGTCCTAGCTCTCTACAAAATCTACGGCTGTCCGGAGTTTTTCAAACACCTACGGGGTGAATTTGCATTTGTGCTCTACGACAGCCGCGAGGGATGCGAAAAGGTGATTGCTGTGAGAGATAGGTTTGGAATTAAACCACTGTATTGGATGACTGTTGGTGATAGAATACTGCTGGCAGCGGAGTCAAAAGCGTTCTTGCCGTTAGGCTGGAAGCCCGAATGGGATGTTGCGTCCATTGTCGAGAGCGGTTGGAGTGTTGACGACAGAACATATTTCAAAGGTGTCAAAAAGGTACCACCGGGACATTGGCTTGAAATATCCAAAACGGGGGTTGAAATACATCAATACTGGGATTCAGCCTATGTAGACAAGGTAAAGAACCATTCCTGATTGAAATGGCCAATTATGAAGCTCACAACAGCATAGACCAAACCTGACGCGCGGAGCATTGATGAAATGGTAATTCAAGTCCGCGAGCGGCTGGTTGAGGCGGTCCGGCTGCGACTTCGCGCGGACGTTCCTGTTGGCGTATATCTATCAGGCGGTATCGACTCTTCTTCTATTGCAGGAATCGCAACGCATCTTGCGAAACAAGACCAGGTCAAAATCGGCAGCCAAGCAGCAACGAGAGTGGCGTGCTTTAGCGTGGAGTTTCCAAAAAAGTCGGGCTATGATGAGTCGGGTACGTTGACCCCGTTCGAACAATAAAAGTTTATGACCGATGATTGACACCACATTTCTACAGATGTCGCTGATCGGACAGCCAAATGGTTGGGGGTTGAATCTATTAAGAAGGTCGCTGACGAAGCCACCCTAGCGGAAAACTTTACTGACGCGGCATACCATTGTGAACACCACAACAGCGATCTCAACTTTGTCGCGAAGTTTGCATTATCGTCGCTTCCACAGGAGAATGGGGTCAAGGTTGTCCTCACAGGTGAGGGGGCTGACGAACACTTCGCGGGATACACCTACTTTCCGCAGGACCTCCTGCTGGAACCGGACCAAACTCAACCAGACTCAGTACTCTCATCGGGTGAGCTCCACCAGCAGCTGCAAAAGAAAGTCTTTGACGAGATAAACGCTATTTTCCGCATGTTTGGGGTCCCCATTCACGGAGGAAACGGAGATGATGAATTTCTTTCCGACGCCAACGGCTGCACAATGCCTAGGATAATATCGATGATGGCACAACCATCCGCAGAGATTTACTCATCATGGACACGCGACGGTAACCATGCGTACGATATCAGGAAGACGGTAATGGCATCGCATTCACGTGAAGTCCGGGCCAAGATGCGCTCAACATGGCATCCGCTGCACACATCCCTTTACATGTGGAATAAAAGCGGCCTACCCAATATTATCATCCCAGGTTTGGGAGACCGCGTCGAAATGGCCCACAGTGTTGAGGGACGCACACCATTCCTGGATCATATCCTCACTGAGTACGTGGACGGTCTTCCCCCAAGTGTCAAAATCGCCTATACCCCCAAACAAGCGACGGCGGCTCTCCAGAACGGCGAACTTTGGGACCATGCCGGTTCGGTCCTGCAATCAATGACAGAGAAATGGATCTTGCGTGAGGCGGTTCGGCCGTACATTACGGACGAGGTATACCGAATGAAGAAACGACCGTTTATGGCGCCTGTAACCTGGCCCAAAAAGGGGCCCCTGCACTGCTTATTTGAAAAGCTATTGACTCGTGATGCTGTTGAAAACCTGGGCTTTGTCGATTACAGTGTAGTCGAACGGGCCCTAGGTCGAGCATTCGGTGATAACGCAGATAGAATGGCGTTCCGTACATTGGTGTGTGCTGGTTCGTGGGTTGCTCTTTCACAACGGCTGGGTGTCAAAAGGGCAGAGGAGGCGGATTATATTCGTTGAGGAGGAAAGTTGGGACCACATTCTATTTATTATTCCTACTATTTATCTAGTGAGCTAGTGGCAGTTTGATGGAATGAGAAGATTTCTGAGAGTGGTATGATCCGCCTGTTGGGACGAGTTACTACTGTGAAGCTTTGAGAGCCGGGAGGAGGGAGGAGGAAGCGCATGCGTTCCAGGGCTAGAATTTCTAAGCTTTATGAAGCTGGCCGAACCAAGAATTGGCTGTTATTGATAAACGATATCCAGGTGTTTGAAATGTTAAAATTCAGCTTGGAGCCGCCGCGGCCCATGGAAGACTGAAAAAGTGATACTTCGTTTGATCGTTAAAACACTGGGATGAAACCGTCGTTTGAAGGCAAAACACTTCGCTTCCATCAAATGCCCGCTCGTAAAGTTTGAATCAATAGGAGAATAATCTGGGACTACTTTTTTTTTTTTTTTTTTTTTTTTTTTTTTTTTTTTTTTAAATTTGGAAATTCACCATAATATCAAAGGTGATGATCCAATAAAGAACCGAGGACCGAGCAGAAAATATACCAGCCAAACAACGCCTCAAATTACCACTCCCTAGCCAATTCAAGAATGCATCGTTTTCTGCACCGGGCTCATATTTGCTCATCTGCTTGGGGACTCCACGGCCCGACCAGCGGACAGTGGGCGGTAATATTTAAGTATAGATAGATGTATGTATGTATGTATGTATGTATGTACGAGACTTTTCCATCAGTTCCAGCCAATAATCCCCTCGGCAACTCTCAGACCCGTCGCACTAACAATCGACATCCGCCGCCCTATCACGCCCGTTTCGCACGCATCAAGCCGCAACTTCCAGCATACTGAGCCAAGGTTATTCTGATCAGGTATCAGCTTCATGCTGGCTAGAGTGGTGGGCGAGATGTCTTCGAGATCCTCCCAGCGTGTGAGATTCTGGAGCGGGAAACGGTGGAGGGGAGGGACTCTGTCTCGGTGCTGCGAGGGTGTCAGGTCGCCGTCATGGCTGTGAAGGATCGCTGGCTGTTAGGTGCTGTAGCAGGCTGTAGGTTTCCCCCGGGGATGAACTCCTGCTGAAAACATACTGTATTTCAACCCAACAGTCCCGAAAGGCCTCTACGGGACAGGGTTGGGTCTGCTCTTGTTCTAATGGCCCGTTAGCTGGCCTTTTGATAGAGAAATGGATCCCCTCCGTTTCGGCAGAGTGATGTTCTTGAAGAGTGATCTGGTAGTCGACTGGAGCATTACTTTCTTCCGGGTTTACGGGACGAAGAAAGACCGTGGCTCCTCCTTTGCTGGTTCTAGCGGAAGAGCCGTTGCACATATCCTAATATGGGACCGTTTAATAGCCTCTGCTTTGCCGGAGTGTGCTTTGGGTACAGGGATGAGGATTCACTGCAAGAAAGGCCTTACATCCGTGATATTGGGAGTGCAGTTTCGTGTAGTTAAGTTGATTCCGGCGTTTGAATGGAAAAAGGTCATAAACCACATTCATACAACTATCCTGGGTATATAAATATATACTCCTGTATCAACCAGCTCAGGTTGTCCGCTTTGACCCCCCTTCCGTGGCCCTGGATATCCAAAGCGGTGTGCTATATATATCCTATATCTGGGGTCGTTTGAGCATATTCCTGAACTTTATCTGAAATCACTTACGCAAAGTGAGCAAATTATCTGCATTCTGACTGGAGAAACGCTCCGAACCGACTCCTGGCTCCATGAAGTATGTTTTCAACCACCAATGCTGAATAATATACAGAGTAGATAATTTCGTTTCAATCTCCCTTTTCTTAGAGGTGTCTATTATACACCATTTTTTAAGATATCTTCGTGCACACAAGCCACTTACCATCTTCTGCTCATTTGGTTCACGGTCTCTGCCCGCTCAGCCACCCCCGAGACAGCCATGGCCCAGAAGTACTTGCTCCCGCGCCTCCCTTATGCCTACAATGTAAGTGAGCGCTTTTGCCCCACCTCACCTCGTGTCTTCTGCGGCAGGGGCTAAATCGGGATATCAAACGCCTCCCTTTTCGATACAAGGCCCTCGAGCCGGTCATCTCCGCCCAAATCATGGAGCTTCACCACGCGAAGCATCATAACACCTATGTGACGAACCTCAACAAGGCGCTTCAGGACCGGGCGGCAGCGTTGAAGGCTGGAAATAAGGTTGATATTCAAGCGATAATCAATTTCAATGCCGGCGGACATATCAATCACACACTACTCTGGCAAAGCATGGCCCCCGCTAACGTCCCTGAATCCAAGGTTGAAGCCGCGCCGAGATTATGGGAGGCAATTCGTCAACAGTGGGGAGAGGATGCTGACGCATTCCGGAAGAAATTTAACGAGGCGTTATTGGGAATTCGTGGAAGTGGATGGGGTTGGTTGGTCCGTGAGGGAAATCAGGGGCCTCTGGCTATTGTAACCACCCATGATCAGGATATAGTTGCGAAGCACCAAGTGCCTATCTTTGCAGTAGACATGTGGGAGCATGCATATTATTTGCAGGTGAGACTGGATTTGGGCGTTATATTATCTATCCTCTTGTTATTGAAGTTTTGTTTCATTTCTAAAGCTGACATCAAATTTTTTCCGTGGTGATTTGCAGTACCTGAATGGGAAGGCCGCTTATGTTGAGAATATTTGGAATGTCATTAATTGGAAAGGAGCAGAGGAGCGATACCTTGGAGAGAGCACCGACAGCTTTGAGGACCTCAAGGCGTTAATGTAGCCGGTTCGATTGCCCATATAGAAAAATCGAACGAGAACATTTTCATGTCAATCACATTTCATATATTCAAGAAATCTCATGCCATGTATCATGTATGTCCAGTACATACATGAACGCACAATTGATATATAACTTGGCAGCTAAGAAAGACAAAACAAAGAATAGAGCTAGCGAAGATGCTCTGATAATACAAATGAAATTTTAATGCCGCACGCGAACACCTACTTGCGAAAGCAGGACAAGATCCGAACAGAGTTCACCGTAAATGGAATCACCGAACTAACAGAGTCTTAAGGCTTTCAGTTATGTAGCTTTTGATCTGCTGTGGATAATTGCTCAACTCCGCCCTCGTAGTCGAACTGGCGCTGGCTGCTGGCCTATCTGGCAAGCATGGCTAGAGCGCACACACCGCGCAGCAATGACGGACTCGCGAGTAAAAGGAGAGAGTTATAAGAGTGTTGTGGCTTATCGCTGTAAGCGCTCCCCAACCAGCACCGATGAAATAAGCTAATGTGCTTTGCAAGCTGCTTTAAAAATCTTGTGACTGGTAGCTTTCTATTTAAGTAGGGCTAGTCCTGGAAGCATCAAAGCCTAACTTCTGTCGATCCGCCAGCAGAGTAATAGGGGGTTAATTCCACCTGGTTCCTTTTGATTCAATTTATTTGTAAGTTGCCCCTGAATAACGACTATAGGATGAATGGTCGTTAACAGCTCGTCTCTTTTGCAATACAGTACGTCAAGCTGGGCATTCACCCTCCTTTTTGCGGCATGCGAAAATTTATTTTGATCCGATGGCGGTTTCCTCTGGTAATTGTAAGGGGAAGAAAATATATCCGTTTCGCCAAGCTTGTTTCATCAACTGGGAAGTTCGTCGGCCTGAGAGGGAACTTTATCTGTCTCCTGTTTGAAGGATGTTTACTTCTGTATTGGCTTGGTTAGACTTCGTTATTGAGGCAAAGGTAGGACCAGAACAGGGGACAGGGGCGGAGGAGTCGGCGCAGACAGAGAGACTTGAAAGAAAATGAAGAATAACCCGATGTATTCGAGGGAAATGAAGATATCAATGACAGTACTTCTCCATGATAGCTGTGAATGAGCTATCTTGCAGAAGTTGGGTAGCGGTTGGCCGCTTCTCGGGATGGTAACTGAATCCTTCAGTCATGATAGGAAGTATTTGTTGTCGTTCAATAGGGTCGGATTCGGGATGCGCGCGTGCTATGATTGCCGAAATTAGGAAATTAGGACGTGGCTTGGTATCAGGGCCATACCAACTATCGCGGGTCTGGTAGAGATAGAAGCCCTTCCACTCCTCAGGCAGATGACCACGTATTTCGACCATAATTGTCACTAGCCCGCCACCCCTCCAAATGGTGAAAGGGACAGAGCCAAGGTAGAGTTCCGCAAAAATGCACATGTAGCTCTACATGTCACAAGCAAAAAGGTAGGAGGCTTGCCATGAAGGCGATCTGGCGAGCAGGGCATTGAGAGTGGGTGGCCTTGTGATGTTGGTGGTAGTGGTGGTAGTAGTAGTGGCGGTAGTGTAGTTGAATCACCGAGTTTGTATGTGAGGCCAAAATCACCAAGATAGAAGGAATCTGCGCGTAGATTCTCGGGCACTATTAATGGCTTAACCAACTCTCCTGGTTTCCAAAGTCCTGCATCATGTAGGATGGCTCACTTGAGCGGCCGACCGAGAAGCCTGTATATTATAACCGCCTAGAATCACACCACATGTAGTTATGATCGTTTAAGTATGTAAAGTATGTCAGTACTGTTACAAAAGAGGTGGCACGCAGGAGTTACACACCGCGATGAACGATTCCACCCTTGTGTAGGCTTCCCAAGGCCTCAAGCAGCTGGTGAGAAGCAAACATGCGAGTGGACATTGACTACCGCTTGACATATAAACCCTCAAGCTGTGGTCCCTCAAGAGGAAAAACAAGGACTCGATGGATCGATTAACTTCCAGGAAGGAAGAAGTTTGTCACAGACAGAAAAAGGCGGAGAGGTATCCTGCACACTCCCACGGATTTCATCTGCATACGATATTCATGTTGTGAGTCCCCCACAGCCATACATTGAGAGCCACATCCCTCTTACTCTTGAAGATCATATGCCATCCAGACTGCGGACGAGCCTCCTTGGCCAAGTTTATGGTCTATATGATATCTTTGGTTGAGTACTTCCCCGATGCGAATTGGATAAAACACATGGGGAGTTTCTCTGATATTGTATTTCTCGCAAGGCTCAGCCAGTTCGTCAACATCATCCTCCTCCTCACGGTCGGTGTTTGCAAAATGGCCAAGATCAACGGTGTTGCTATCTTCGGGGTACTGGGACATCATCGTTGTTCTCGTTGCAACCGGCCCACCTCGCGTAAAAGACATAGCGGAAATGTCCATCTTAGATGTTGTGGAGGGAGCAGTATGAAGCATGTCGATGGGAAAAGCCCACCATATTAGTACCTCTTGTTGATCAAGACTCTGCTTTTGCTCTCTCATCACTCATTGGATGCTCATGCCTCCCGCTTAGCCTTGCTGGCTAGCACGCTGAACTCAAATTTCCAACATGCAAGCCTTCCTCGATTGTCTAGTGGTGATGATTTCCGCTTGTCATTCCGTCCAATAAGACTGACGTTCATTTTTAGGAGGGGCAAGCTTTGTGTAGAGACTAATTCAGAATTATGACTAGGCCAGACGACTGTCAAGACTGGAGCAATGCTCTGAAAGGTGCAATCTATTCAAGGGGCGCAGAATGAGATTTTTACAGTAAGTGGGACAAAATACATTGCCTTTATAGATAGGAGGATATGCCACCCACCTCATAAGAAGGTGGATTCCTAAAGAAAAACTCCCAAGAGACCGGCGAGCGCAGTGTCCAAGAAGCAATGAATTACCAAAGTATTAAATCGTGAAAATTTCCGTAATACATAAACAGAAAACAAGGGGTATAAAATAAATAAAACTTTTGCAGGTTGCAACACGATGCAAAAAAGAGAATAAATGTATGCAAAAATCGTAAGAGATGACATATTCCAGAACAAAAGCATACTAATATCAGAAGAGTTTTTTTGTGGAGGTGAAAGTGGGATAATTCATTCAAGGAGGAACCTCTTCAATGGTTGGTCGTTGATTTTCGGGTTTATTCCCCATGAGGACGTTCATTACACTCGTGTTCTGTTGTGGTTTTGGATGTGGCATGCTTGCGGATTGTGTACTTTCATCTTCATCGTATGATATGGTAGTTTCGTTGTATGTGTCGGCATCAGAGTCAGCGTCATGCCCTTGCTCTTCGAGCACACCGAGACCAAGGTTCTGAAATGGCATAAACTTGTTAGCTGCGCTCCGATAAAAGGCTCTACATTCGAATTCCCTATGGCTATGATGTGTCCTTGTAGAGGAAAGTAATACATATACAAAAAGAAAGAAAATGTACCATTTCAATGTATTGGCCATCTACTTCACTGTCGTCACTACAATCAAGCTCCACTCCAGCTGCATTCTCGGTAGCCATCTTCTTTTCTAAGACTTCGTTTGCGGCTTTCAGTTCAGGGAGGAAGGAAGCCAGTCGACTTCGCAGCGTGGAGCCATTCAATTGACGTATGGTGGGTTTGAAGAGAGGTGGTCGAGGTGCAACTGAAATGATGTCGCTAGCGCCAGATCTATCGGCGATGTCGCTGTCCTCTGGGTCCGACTCGCCGCCAGACGAGGACGATGATGAGGAAGGAGAAGACGAGGAAGAGCAGGCAGAAGACATAGGTGATTCGGATTCCCCGCTCGACGAAGTTTCGTCCTCAAATTGTTGGTTCGTGGGTGAGCGAGAACGATGGGATAGTGGTTGAGGCTCGACCGCATCGTTACCTTGGCTATCGCCCTTATCGCTGCAGTAGCCGGTGTCGCAATTTGAACTATCGCTCGGACAAGCTATAGTATCAGAACAACCCATGAGTTTGGATCTCTTTAGCTGGAACCTGGGCTGCGTGGTGGAATCATCATCATCCTCGAGGCACCTCTTCTCGATCGGTTGGGTGGCAAAGCCAGCCATGATTGGAATGACCTTGATTTTAAAGAATCATATTCTCAGACTTGCCTGAGTGGAGGGGGAGGTATCATTGATAGATTGAAGAGTGATGTTTTTGACTCTCGAGTCAAGCTTTCGAAGATTGGAAGGATAAAACGCACGTGCAACCCGATCCGAACCTGGAAATGTCAAAGCCCTAACCTTAATTATTATATTAACTTCCAAAAACTGCAAATTGTCAACATCTCACGGGTGAAATTAAAAATTGATCATATTTCTCGCCGATTTGCACTCGGCAGTGTGAGCTGGTTGTGAGGGCACGCTTGATCACGCATTATTTCCGTGCCTGCATATCACGTGGCACATTCCTCTCATCCATGGCGGCCTTCATGGCCTTCGCGGCCACGCCATGACGGATAGCTCTTGGGATGGATCAACCCAGGGTCAACGAAGATAGGTGCAAAAGCAATAATCTTAACAGTGCATCCGTGGAGTTGATCAGCCTGGCGTCCCTTTCTCTCTTGTGGCGTGAACGTCGTTTGTGGGGAATAAACATACCTACTTCACGGTATACCCAGAATCAACCACTTGCGCCCTCACCCAGCGCCCAGCCGCTACAATCTAAGAAAGGTACACCTTACCTGCCCTTGCCCTGTTCTCAAAATAACATATTCAATCCGGTCTTTAGATATACCTACTTTTTGGTTGGTTGGGGGATCATCACGGAACTGAATCAGAAACCTCTGTCAGGACACTCCTTTTGCTTTCGCAGTTCTACCTATTCTTTCATTACTTGCCCATTTTCGTTCGAATATGAGGTTGTCTCTTGTTGTCTCTTGGGGTGGATTACCCCCCAAAAGTAGACATCTCTCTTGTCCCTTATTGACACTGTTACCTCGTCTAAAGTTCAGTCACGAAGCTATGGACTCGAGGAAAATTGCATTTGCCCTGCGTTTCGTAGTCCTTGCCCCAAGGTTAAATTTTATTTACTCCACGACTTTATGCAATATATTTTGGTTTATTCCTATGCCTGGATGTAGTGCATTACTCTTTTTTCTTTCCAATTTGTTCGAACTTGACAATGGGCATGTTTCTCCGCGTTTCCTTTGATTGATCAAGTTTCATCATTTATCTGCCATTTCGCTGCTGTTCATGTTGATCCAGGATCATTATTTGGACTCTTTAGGAATTTACATTGACATTTTTTAGATTACAGCAACCTAGGACCAGATCTTTCCTTGCCTAGCTGGAGCAGTCCTCCATCTGCACGTTGATATTTCACTGCGTGTGGACAATATTGGGACAATATCGAGCTCTACCACTATTACATAAGAAGCGAAGAGCAAATTTTGTTTCGAGGGAGGAATCTCTACTCGGATTTTCCCTATTTACTGGAGACGTATCAAGTTGTCCTGGCCTTTGTGGTTAAAATACTTTAAATGGTTACCAGATAAAAGGTGCCGTTGCCCACCACACGTCATTATTGATTTTCTTATCACTTTTTTCTATAGCTAAGAGCCGAGCCTGATATCCCCGCCATAAGAGACAAATTGGACAATTAAAAGAAAAGAAAAGCCTTCTGCGATTGGTTTTTTTTTTTTTTCTTCCGAAAATGGACAACCCGAACGTTTTTAACACCGACCCAGAGCCGGCAGCAGAAAACGGAAGTGGATTGGTACCGGCCTCCCGAAGGACTCTCCACCAGAACATCCTAGGAAAACTGCGACCATTGCCTTTGCAATATCACTGGACAGTCTGGTACGAAAAGCATTCTGAGTCTGCAAATTACGACGAGAGGCTGTACATTCTTCACGAAGATGTTGCGGACATTGGAACATTCTACAGAGTCTACAATAATTACCCCTGGCACAAGATCAAGCTGCGGGACACTGTTCACATTTTCCGCAAGGGTACAAAGCCGGTGTGGGAAGACCCGGAGAACCAAAAGGGAGGGCGTTGGACGTTTCGCGTGCCAAAGGCGAAAAGCCAGGCTTTTTTTCATGAAGTTGCAATTCTCTGCATGGCCAATGAATTCCAGGCAGCCCTTGAAGCTGGTACGTTGAAGATATTGTCTCTCCTCCAATAATTTCCTTTCATTTCGATATTTACCTAAGCGTCTCAAAAGACGCACGAGGTCGCGAAGGAAAACAATCCAGGATAAAGAGAAGGAATCAAATATCCAAATCCTAACACAGTGCAGAGCACGACCATGTCCTCGGAGTGTCCACTTCAGTGCGCTTTAACTCGCATCTGATCTCCGTATGGAACAAGTTAGGCTCGAATCCGAAGGCGATCAAAGCTCTCGAAGATACCGTCTTAGAACGCCTTTCGCCGGAACTGCGTCCATCATCAACTCAATCGTATTTCTATAAACGCCATGACGAGTACGAAGGCTTCAAAGCTGCGGTAGAGGAGAATGCAGGCGCGACGAGCAGTGGCAAAGTGGAAAAGGTTCATGATACTATATCCCCATAAGATATCGCATTGACTCTCTACAATATGGGCTGGCCGAATACCCCGTGAGCGTGCAAAGTTGTAATACAAACGAGTCCGAGCTTGGTTCATTCTTTTCGCCATTTTCCTTTTATTTGCTCTCTTCATTTTTGATTGTGAACCTTATTTATCCAACCAAGGAAGTTTCCTCTGTAAGAGCCCGCTGAGTATGATCCATTATCTCCTCTCGCCTCTTGTTTCCCTCCTTTGTCCGGATCATGCTTTGTGTTTTTACGATCACTTCAAAGAACAAAAGCCTTCATACTCGCATGGGCAAATTTCAATGATCGTTTCGCAATGACAAAGTGGGAAAGTAGACTGTCAATGTTTCCCTTTCTTTCCTCTGGTCGCTCTCGGTTCTTCCCATCATATTCTTAAATATTATAGTTTCAATTATGCAACTGTTATGGTACATAATACTATCTCCTGATCAACCTTATGGAGATATTATTCATGACTAGTCCCCACTGTGATATTATCAACAGTAACCATACTGATAAACAGCCCTCGATAATCAATTTGCACAAATGCGTGTGAAACAAGGGGTACATTAAAAGAGAACATTGATGTCCATTCGTATTCCCACACCAAACTCGACATCGCTGACGTGATTAGTGCCAGAAAAATTTGCGAGTATAACTTTAGAAAACAGCCCTGAACAAGACAGGACTATTATCTACTCCGGCTCCTCCGTCTACTCCTCCTATCATCCTTGTCAGTACTAACTACAGAAGGAGCAGCACCAGAACCTCCAGGCATGTATCTATCAATCTCTTGGAGTTTAAGTCGATCCTCCTTCTCCCGGTCTCGATCTCTATCTCGATCTGGCGTCCTTGCCCGTCGCCTGGTCGGTGTCCGACTACGGTTGCTAGTAGGAGGTACGTAGCGATCAATATCAGGTGGGCTCCGAGACCTAGATCGTCGACCAGTGCGCGAGAAAGACTTCTCCCGCTCCCGCTCCCGATCCCGACCGCCATCAGTGTCTCTGTGGTTGCGTGAGCCGGATCGAGAGCGGTGACGTCGCCTGGCTGACTGCGACCGCGTGCGGCCTCGTGAATAATCTCTTGGACGATAACGACGGTCATCCCTATCCCGGTCCCTATCCCTTCCTCTATCTCTGTCTCTATCTCTGTCCCGCTCTCTGTCCCGCTCTCTGTCCCGCTCCCTGTCCCGCTCTCTGTCCCGCTCTCTGTCCCGTTCCTTCTCCCGTTCTCTGTCCCGTTCCCTGTCCCGTTCTCTGTCTCGTTCTCTATCCCGTTCTCTATCCCGTTCCCTATGTCTTACTATCTCACGGCTTCGCGCAGTAGATCTGCTACGGCTCCTGCTGTGATTCTTGCTTCCTCCGCAAGAATGCATATCTCTTTCCAATTTGCTCCGCGTTGAAGGTCTGTACAAGTCCATTTCACGATCTCTATCATCATATCGTGAAGATCGCCAGGTTCTTGACCTACTTCGTTCGTCTTTGTGTCGGTCACGGTCTCGGCCGCGGTCGCGGTCTCGGTCTCGATCCCGATCCTTATCACGACGATCATCGCTCAACTTGACGCTGGATTTTGATGGCTCAGGGGGAGGAGACACCTCGTTCTTTAGCCGAGAATGGGTAGCTCGTGAACGAGTCTGATCTGACCGAAGAGCCTTAGTGTCTGCGATTGATGGCTGGCGTGAACGTTGTTGGGGTTGAATTTGCGGCTGAGGCTGAGGTTGCTGCAGTTGCGCATTTTCAAGGGCTTCGGCCTGTTCAAAATCGAACTCGGGTTTCTGTCGCGACTTTTCTGCTAATTCTTTCCCCTCTTTTAGAAGTAATTCCAAAGCAGCGTCCTCCAGCGATTTCTCGTCAACAAGTGTTGGAGAAGGTGCTTTCGGGGTGGCGGAACGTTGTCGGGAGCGTCGAGGCGATCGTTGGAGCCTAGTATCCCAATCCCTATCCCGTCCACGATCACGATCACGATTTTTCTCCCGCTCCTCTTCTCTTTCCTTCTCCCGCTCCCGCCTTCTTCGTTCATAGCGCTCTTCCCTCTCCTTCTCTCTCTGTTCTTCCAGAAGACGTCTTTCTTCTCGAAGCTTTTCCCTCTCCGCTCGCCTTTTTTCTTCCAACTCTAGCTTCTTCTTTCGCTCCTCTTCTTCCTTCTGCTTATCAAGTTCTCGTTGTTTCCGTAACTCTTCTGCTCTAGCCTTCGCCTCTTCGATTTCAAGTTGTTTCTGTTTCTCCAGCTCTTTCAGCCATGCTATTTCTCTTTCCTTGCGCCTAGTCTTGACTTCGCGTTCATAGTATTCGTCCGCCTTACTTCCTCTCTCTTCCTCTAGTGCAGCCATTTCTTCTCCAACTTCTTGGCGACGAATAATGCGAAGGGATTCAAGGATATAGTCCAAATGGTTAGAAGTTATCGCGTCAATGGCCTCTTCAACACTTTTATAAAGATCACTCCGATCGACAGCGCCCTCTATTAGAGTTGCAGCTTTTCCTCTTTCCCTGGACAACAAAGACGGATCTCGATCAATTTCAGATTCGGCCATTTCAACCAACGAAGATATAAGTGAATTTTTAGCTTCCTGAAGTTTAAAAAGAACGGCTTAAAGTTAGCAATGCTCTAGATATGAGAAATATTTATTTAAAAATTCTGGACATGGGTAGCGGCATATAAAAGGATATACGCGTAGGCTCTTGCTCACACTCTCGCTAAATTCCGCCCATATTTTCTTTCGAACGGAGTCAAAACCACCCTTCTTCTTAAACGCATATAGAAGGCTGTCGATCGATGTTCGCTGCGCAGCTGATAAAGGCAAATCTGAAGCTTTGAACTTCTTGCGCTTGAGGCTTTCTATGTCGATTCCCGGCCGCTTTACGCCTGCCATTTCCATATCTGTGCCAGCCATGTTGACCGGCACAAACAAAAGCAGTCCTTAGGTATTTCGCTAGAAATTCTCTCACATCTCCGAGTGGTGTTTAGCTGAGACCCAGCTGCGGTTTGCTTTCGCCGATGATTCTTGTGCGTTCTCTGTAGCTCTCTGAGAGGAATCGCGTTGTGACCAGGCCGGCAGAACTATTTTCCCGGCACCGAACTTCAACATCTCCCACGCCTCAGAACGTCGACCAAATCCGGAGCAACAATTGGTTACGGGGACACTTGCTACGCAACTCGTGCGAATTCAATTCCTTAATAGCAAGTCGTGAGGGACATATACACCTCTGGCGCTTGTCAACGGGGCGTTCTAACCTGCCTCGGCTGTCTTCGATCCACGCTTCCCGGCGTCGCGCCTGATCGATCCGAATACCGTCCACAATGCCTCTTCACAAAGTACTATTCTGGAGCGGCTTCGGTATGTCGCTCTTTTGCTTAGAGAATAAACCCGGCTATGTTACGTGTTTTCTCTGGAAATCTAGAAAGTCTGGAGAAACAGCGGTTTCCCATATGCTATACCTGCTAAACCTGGGATCAATATTGCAAAGATATACCTACTGACCGGGGAATCTTATAGGCATTGCCGTTCGTTTGTGGCAACTCGGCATCGAAATGCGCCCATTATTCCAAAAGCAGGCACTATGGGTTTATCCTCTATTCGCGACGGTGGGCGGCAGTTTCGGATATTGGCTCGAAGGCGTTGATAAAAGACAAATGGCCATCCTGGCAGAGCGGAAAAGGAGTCTGCTGGAAAAGCGACAACGGAGAGTAGAGAGGGAGGCCGCAGAGGGGGGCGCGGGGCTATGAAAAGCTCAATGAGGAAGCCTCTAGGGAGCCTGCCATGGGCCATTGGAAAAAATACTTAGCGAATGGTTTGGGTGGGGTTTTCGAATACCTGCGATTAATTCGATATATGGGTATCCTCTTGAGCCATGAAATCAAGACGGGATGCGAGAGCTGCAAAAGGAAAAAGGCTTTCATTGTTGTTTTATTATTATACAGATTCGTTTATCATTTTTCAACAATTACCAATGCATGTACCTGTTGTTTCACAACAGTTCGATCTTCCAATCCTTGTTGGTCAGGCTGTTGGTATCCAAAAAGTGAACAGGAGGCATTGAGATGTTGCACATGTACTGTACATAGACATCAAAGAGATACAAAAAAAGAAATTGAAATAGGGCAAATACGTATAGATACTTCCAACTACTTTTATCTCCAATTGCTTTTCGGACATTCGTTTTCTATCAAGTTTGGTCAGTAATTCGCGACTGCAAACACCCTCTCCCAGCAAGAAGGGCGTGTGGGACCGGAGGTATGTGCAGTGGTAGATCTTATAGCGGGCGCTATTAGGAATTAATAAATGGAAAAGAAAAGAAAAAGGGGGGAAGGAGGGAAAAAGAGAGAGAGAGAAGTTCTGTCTTGTTTAATGACATAAACTCATATGTTATTTAACTACGGAAAGAAAATTATCGAAATACAGCCGCTTCTAAAAAACGTGTCGCAATCGGAACCTCAGATCGACATCAATCGTCTAATACACGGTTCCGGTGGCCATATAACTGGGGAGCCATCATGTCAAGGTTACGGGTTTATTCAATGGCGATAAGCTGTAATCTCCAGCCGGTACCCTTGCTACGCCGACTAGGGCCGTAAAGACAGTACTCTATTTCAGAATGGCCAAAGATAAGTCCGTAAGATTCATTGCCAAAAGAACAACAATTCAAAACTTGGTTGCTCTGCAAGCAGAGAATGAAAAAATCATGAAGACATGAAAGAAATCTGATCTGATTTCATTATCATCACGTTGAAATGACGCTGACACAAGGGGGTATAGTATGCATAACGTATAAATATATCCACTTTAGCCCTGCTCAACCGTAAACTGCAGAGACACTTCCCATTTCTGACCACCTGTCCCGTATCCGCCCCCTAATCGATTTTTTATCATACTGACGATCCTCTCTCGCAGCTTGGTTAAGCTTTCTTCCGAGCCGGTCACTCGCAGCTTGATGCACGCTATGCACAAGCCATAGTGAGCCTGCCAGAATTTTGCCTCTTCAATTTCCGCCACAGCTGGGTGGTTGTAGATGTCTCCCAAAACCTCAGAAGTCCCTGGACCAGAATAGGACATCAGAAGTATGGATCCAAGCGTTTTAACTAGACGAACTCCGAAAACACACATGGAAATTGCAACGGTGAAGGATAAGATTCGATCCAGCCATAGATACTGTTGCACGGACAATAAGGGGAGTAAGAGGAGAAACGTTGAACATGAAAGGGTCAGGAAATGAGCTGGGTTACTAAGGATAGAAGGTAGGGATTCGATATAGGCAAACCGGATAGCCTTTCCAATCCTTGCATGGTTTTTTAAAGCGATGGCGGATATCAACGTTGCCATTATCGCCAGCAAAGCCGTGATGTCGACGCTCCCTGGAGCCACCCGCGCGTGAGAGTGGGAATGATGGGCCTCGTGGCCTGAGTTTTCCAGCAGATGCTGGACCGTATGTGAGATAAGGTCTCCTCCCATGAAGAATAGTAGCACGGATAGAGCAAAACCCGCAACGACTTCTGCACGCTCCAAGCCAAAAGGGTGACGAATGCTAGATCGCTTCCACACCTCGAAATTTCCGAGTACGTCAACGACAACGCAGAGCATGGCGCCTAGCGAGTCGAAGAGTATGAGATGGGACAGCCCTGTCATGGCCATAGAGCCATGGGAAGTCCACAACGTATATCCGGCCACCCCCATGTGGCATACGCTCCACCAGAACCGGATTCTCTGGTCCTTTGACATGCTCCCCAGGCATTCCCCCCAGGTCGGGATCGGCAGGGAGTTCGGTAAGGGCATTGGCGACCTAGGCGGGGGTTCAAGGAATATCTGGTGTGATACGCTGCTATGTTTATACTTGTGTCCCCGTCTTTGGCCCACGTTCTATTATATGTTTGCCGGACATTACCATTACATATTTAGCGTTCAAGTTTCGGGCGCAACCAGGATTTCCACAGGGATGCCATACCGATTTTGCAACGGGGCTCTTCGCGAGAGCGGTTGGCTTAAAATTAAAAGGCCCTTGCATCATGTCTTCCGCAGAACCCATAGCCGAGTTCCGTGACGGATCTAGGGAATCAAAGAGTTAGGTATGCCCACTGTGAGTGATATATGCTAGTATTTAATGCGGGACTGGGATATCAAACAATTTACCTAAGGTCCCCGACGCTCCGAAAGTGCTCACCATTGGAGACAGAGTATTCCGGTCAGAAAGGTTCTCCATTGACGGTATTACCATATAGCCCTCTGGACCCGAAGAATGGTCGTCTGAGGGCGGCGTAGGAGTTCGAGGAGGGATTGGCAGCGGTAATGTGTCCGCCATCGCTGGTTCAATCTTCTCAAGCCACGGGGCAATTTCGGCACGCAGGAGTGTGAGGAGGAGTAAGTGAGTGGAGAACGAGTTGGAGTTGGCGTGGAGCGCAGCGACGACGATTTGCAAGATCGGAGACTAGAGAGCATGTGGTTAGCTTCTGCCTAAGAACTGAACAATCCGGTGTGATTTTCTATTTTCTGCAGACCTTCTTCCATCGTGATGAGGCGGCTGCACTGGGCGTTGCATCAAACAGAATCCACGTTTGGCGACTGCGCACCTCAAGGTACTAGCTGCATTTAGATTTATAGATGGCCAACCACTCGTCTCCGAGGCACTTGTCCAGCGTCACAACGTCTTCGAGCAACGACAAACAGTAGTCAACCAAGAGCCAGAGCCCGAATCTGGTAATGGACATTATACTCGGATACGGCTGAGCTCCTATGGCTCGATCACCTTTGGTCCATGGAAAACCGCCGCGCGCTTCTTTTCTTCGTGCTCCTGTTCTTCCTGCTATCCGCGCCAGAACCAGGCCCGCCGACCCTCAACCTCGAGCGAGAGCGCCATCAGCAGAAGAAGGAGGAACAGCGAGCACTATCACTCCTTAATACCTCGAGATACGGTGACTTGGACAGCGCTGCAGGTCGCTGGCTTCCTCTGGGAGGCCTGACCAAGGATGATGGCTATGCATGGGGGTTACTTCCCGCTGTCAAGGACCGCGCCCGGGACCAGCTATACTCGATTCTCCAACACTCCGGCTTGTTGGACGAGCAACCGATCGAGTGGCAGGCACGCCCACTTCGGTCAGACCTTAATATCTCAGATCTACAGATTCCCGTATATCGCAATGTTACTGGGAAGATCCGGGGCAACTGGGTTCGCTGGCATGGTCCCGAGACAGAAAACCTCCCGCAGCTGAATACCACGGCAATCATGCTGAGACATGATTATTTTACCAATATATTCGCGAATAATATTACTACGGACCACGGAGCTCTCTTGATAGAGTTACAGGAGGAGGACAGAGAAGGTCTCGCCTTGGACGGGTCAAGCGCCAGGGAGATAAGAGCAGATATCACCCTATACACGGATGTGTCACTGGGGGCCAGCCATTTCGTACGGCTCTTCGGAGTGCATTTCCCATCATCGGGCGGAATTATTCTCAGCACCACCAGTGAAAAGTTCGCTGGTTTGTCAGCAATGCCTCAATTTGCTCTTTCGAATGATACATTTGAACTCGCCCGTCAGCTATTGAATAGGTCATTGACTGAAACCTTGGCTAAAGAGAAAGCCGGCCCTGTCGATTATTTGCCTTGGTCGTCTCTTCCTAACGGCCCGAGCACCATGACATTCCCTGCGCCGAAGTGCGAATATATCGTGTATCTTCAGCAGCATCCCGTGGTAATAAAGGGCCAAATAGCTCGAATCCCTCTGTTGCAATCGATCGAAGATGAACTGCGTTTCCCAATTGGAGCCCCAGTGCCGTCTCCACCACTGATGGCGATGTCTATGACGCTTTTCTCTCCAGATTGTGGATTCGTGTTGGAGAGCAAAGGGTCGCCAGCTTATTCCCCTTTAGATGGACTCTATCTTTCGGGCCCCAAGCAGGAGCAATACCGGAAACACGCTGGGCGGTTAGTAGTGATTATGGCGGCAGTTCTTTGCACCCAGATTCACCTGCTGATGAGGCAGATGAAAGAGGCCTCCACACCCTCAACTAGGAGCCGAGTCAGCTTCTACACAATCGCCATGATGTCTATAGGCGATGCTCTTTTTGGTTCATTTATTCTGATGCAGTTATATGACGAAGCTCCGTTCCTTCTGCTTACCACTGCGACATTTTTGACATTCTTCTCTGTCAGTTTCCTTGCAATGAAGTTCCAGATAGAAGTGTGGGTTGTTCAGGCCCCTGAACGCAGGGAAACCGATCGATCATCGTCTGCTCGAGCCACTGGAACCATCGGCAGTCTGCTTCCAGCGCCAGGCATCAGCGCATCCTCCCCTGGATACAGGTGCCACCCCTATCCATCATACTCCTCCCCGGACCGGTAGTCCCGTAGAGACCACCACGGCCCCACCAGCATCCCAAGTAACCAGTGATTCAGGGACAAACGACACAGGTACAATGTACTCTCGATTTTATTTCACAGTCTTTTTCCTCTCTTCTTCTCGTCATGGTCATTATTCTGGCCAACTCGCATAGCCCGAATGTACGGCCAGACGATATCCTTTGCCCTACCTCTCCTTTTGGATTCCGCAGATATATCGCAATGTAATGCGAAACTGCCGCAGGGCACTGACATGGGAATTCGTGGTGGGCCAGAGCCTCATCCGAGTATTCCCGTTTCTCTATTTCTATGCCCTCCCAGGCAATGTCCTCTTTATCAAGTTTAGTTCTATATTTACTGTGGGAATTGCAGCCTGGGTATGGATGCAAACGGTGATTCTAGCTGGCCAGGACCTCCTAGGCCCAAGATTTTTAGTTCCCAACGGCTGGGCACCGCCAGCCTACGATTACCACCCAATTTTGCGGGATACATCTGCGTCAGGCTCCAGTGAAGATATCGAGGCTGCAGGTGTTTTGCCGATTGGATTCCTCCGAGGAGAAGCAATTCATACCGCTCCAAGCAGTTCGGGGGACGACAACAAGCATGGCTCGGACAATACTAATACCCACGACAAGGATCGCAAGACTAGGCGATTCGACTGTGCCATCTGCATGCAGGATATCGATGTGCCGGTCCTCACGGCCCCGAGCAGTAGCACGGGTGCGCCAGCTAGTGTTGCAGAAGGAGCTGCAAACCTGCTTAGCCGACGAGCTTACATGGTCACGCCATGTCGACACATCTTTCACAGTACATGTTTGGAGAGTTGGATGCGGTTGCGACTACAGTGTCCGATTTGTAGAGAGAATCTACCGCCGATTTAAGAGTGCATATTTTCATTTTTGTTTCTTTCTTTCTGTTTTCATATCTCATTTTCTTTTGGAAACGCTCTGTACAGTAATTTTTCTCTTTTTCGTTTTGTTGCATCGGATCAAGGTTCCCTCGATCATTGCTTTTGTTGTCCTTTGTCTCATTGGATAAAATCTCATGGGTTGCATTTGGCATACCGGCGTTGAGATCAATTTTGCATTTACATCAGTTTCGTGAATAAACATTTTCCTTTCTTCTCTAAGTACTTGTGTGGCTGAAACGTCTACTTCCTCTAACCCTGTTGCCTTTCAATACAACATACAGATAAGTTGGTATTTGGTACACGACAACCATACCTTTTGAAATGTTGGAAACTTCAGTAGGATAGGTAGATAATTATACATTTCCGCAAAAAGGAGGGAATAGCGCACACATTTTCAAATGAGGTGAGATAACCCCCGCCCCCCATTAGATCCCACAATCAATCCCAGTTTATCGGGCATAAAACCCCTGATAAAAAAAGGGCGTTGGGGGGGGGGGGAAACAAGGCAGTGGCTAAATTGAATCCCTCCCGAGTCCAATCCCCTTCAACTCTCAACGTCCGCCTCCTCCACCTTAGCCAGATACACCTCCTTCTCCATCAAACCCTCCAGCTCAGTCGGATCCGCAAGCTCGATCTTGGCAAACCATCCCTTCTCCTCAGGACTCTCATTGATGACCTTGGGCGACTCTTCCAGCTTGGTGTTAGCCTCGACGATCTTGCCTGTCACGGGGCAGAGGATGTCCGAAGCGGACTTGACGGACTCGACAGCCCCGATGGTCTCGCCCGCGGCGACGTCGGTGTCGGCGGCGGGCAGTTCTACAAAGACGACGTCACCCAGCGCGTTGGCGGCGTATTCAGTTATGCCAATGGTTGCTGTTTTATTTTTATATTTCGTTATTGTATTTCCATTGTTAGCTAGGTATTTCGTAGTCAGGGTAGAAATTGGGTGAGGGGCAGTTAAAATCTCGCGGACGGCAGGATAAATATTGAGAACTGTACATCCAATTGCGCCCGAGATAAAGACAGGGAAAAAAAAAAAAAAAAAAAAAAAAAAAAGGGCGGAAGAGAAAAATAAAAACGATAGGGAGATGTCTAACCAGTCTTTCCATCCCCAGCCACCTCAATCCATTCATGCTCTTCGGTATACTTCTTAGCTTGCCCTGTAGAAAACGACGAGGTTGTCAGCATCCCACCGCCTATGGTAGTTGTTTGTTGCAGTGACACATAATTGGACAGAGCAATTGTGCCCAATTGCATACTGTCACCTACATAATGAGCTCTGCGAAAATGCTCTTCTGTAATCCCGGAATGCGGGGCGGGAGATATATGCGCTGCGTAGAGCTGGAGAGGGGAGCCTTGGGCCGGCAGTACGCAGCCCACTTCGCAGAGAGGTAAAAACCCGGATGGCAGCAGCAGACATTGTGGGCGGGAGGCGATTGGAATAGTATAGCAGCAACGGGTCAATTGGCCCAAGGAATCGAGAGAGAGAGACTTTCCTGCGGTTGTTCGCAGTTGGTATCAAGTGTCGATTGCCGGAAAGTTGTGGGCAGGAGGTTTGAGTAAACGCAAAGCCGTGATTTGTACCGAAAGGTGAAAAAATGTTTCACAGCTTGTATTTTTACCCATGTATGTTCATGAATTCACCAATCATGTTGCTCGATTGAAACTCTATTAACTAGTTCTCTTATTATATTGATTAGTAATCGAAACTAACCCACCACCTCACCGAAAAACCTGGCCCTTTTTGTTGATGAAATGGTTGTCTTTCTTCAGGAAGAAATTGATATATTAACATCGACAAGCCAGCTTCAAACGGGCCTTTTGTCATGTGGGTTGGACCAAAGAGGAAGTTAAACACAGGGCGCAAAAAAAAAGAGCAGAACTCCGATCTGCGAGATATCTATCAGCATAGACTGTCTGAATATAGTTCCTATCGTTTGATTTCTGTTGATAGATCTGGAAGTGATAGGATTTAGGTTCCTAAAATGGCATCCTTCTTTCTCATATCTTTACGGGCTCAACTGATGACAGCTTTCTTCGAATATTTTATTGGGCAGCTGCTCCAGCACTGTTGTGGACCGTGGCTGGAACCAAACTCCGTCCTAATTACTGTGTGAACAATGCATCATTCCACCACCCAGCCAGGATAAAACAGATGTGCTTCGATGCTGGAGTGGAAACTACTATATTTGCCAACCTATTCACCTGATCCGAACCCAATAGAGGATTCTTTGCGGAGTCGAAGGTTTACATCAGGAAGAACTGGTCATTATCGGAGGAGGCCCCTATCCAGGGTTTCGGTGTTTTCCAACAATGTCTTGATGGCGTCGGCGCGAAAAAATAAAGTGCAGACGGTCACTCCGGAAGTGCTGGCGTATCCATTGAGCTGTTTGGTTTTGCGTTCATCGTCTTGCCCTATGAAAAGAGCTGGGATACAGCGCATGTACCATTGTTCATATCACTGCTAATACAACTCTAGAGTGCGTTGCGAAATCCACTTCATGCTTCAACAACACTCTTCGATTTATTGCCCACCAAGTCGCCAGGTTGCCAAGTTTCTACGATAGTGGGTTCCGGCTGCAATACGCTCCAGTAACGCTCATAGCCCGGATATCCAAAAGAACTGCCAATACGCGAACCATCTCTGGGGTATATACACCCCAACCTTGTACCGGCAAGGCCCAGGAAAATTATCACCCACACATTTCACGTAACTAATCGGCTACGTCGTTCCTCTCATGGCGAGCTCCTTGACAGTATACTTTGCTAAATTTCATGCCAATTCTTTGATGTGGTGATCGCAGTTTATCGTATATAGCCACGAGACAGCAGAGACGGGCTTTCAAGAAAGGACTGAACCTGGGTTAGGATACGGTAGAGGAGATAAAGTAAGTACGGTAGTTACCGTGCATGTATTTCTTCTTGGACTTGACAAGCTTAAGACCTTGTATCGCATTATATGCGCTCCAAAGGAACCTCGCAAGGGTACCCCTCCTGAATATTTTGGCACACTTGCAGACGTGCTAGGCCCCTTTCCGCTGCTGGTTAGTGCAGACCGTGCATGTCCAACCCGCAAGGGCTTTCCCTCGCAGGAGTTTGCCGTAGAGGATATCTGTCTCGACGTCGGATATCAGCTGGTTATGGGTCACAATGTGCAGAACCAACAGCAAATCAGGTAGTTAGAATATATTCAATAACATGGTAAATATTGCTGCCCAACTTCGGGAGGGTTCGCCATCGATTTGTAAACGTAAAAAACAAATTATTCGACATGCGCTTGTAAGAATTGGGTTGTCCCGTGAATATCTACTAACCGTGCCAAGCGCATCTCACTACCTCCCATGAGTGAGTGCGCCACACTGTAACGGAATCCACACTGTAACGGAATCCACACTGTAACGGAACTTTTTGAATTATTCTTATTCTTCATATTCTTTTTCTAATTGATGATCATCACCATGTCTAAATCACTCAAATATAGCAAAGATCAACTTAGAAAAGCCATTGATGCATTAGAAAACAATCCAAATCTACATATCAAGCCAGTGGCATGAGAATTCAATGTTCCATATTCAACCTTGTATGAATGCATCAAGGAAAGGAAATCGAGGATATGCTGGGTTTCAATCAATCAATTGTTAAATGACAGCTAGAAGAAAGCTATTAAGAAGTGAATTTATCAACTGAATGTCAATTTTTACCCTTCAATCATCAAATATATTGAAGCTGTTGTGAATTGAATGTTGCAAGCTCATCACACTGATTCTGAGACTCTTCCCTCAACTATCAATAAAATGTGAGCATATCACTTTATAAAATATCTGTTAGATGAATATAATAAAGTGAAGCAGAAGTTGATGAATTTAAAGTGAGTTTCTAATAAGAATATAAACTTTATTATCAACTGATTCAATCAATATGAATCTATTCTCAATCAGTACAATTTCCATGCAATGAATATCTACAATTTTGATGAGATTGAGTTTTAAAAAGGAGAGGGATATGGACAGTGAGTAATAACTGCTTATTGAGATGTGAATTCCATCATACAATTATCATATTTTCATAGAGTAATAACAGTTTTGAAATGTGTCAATGCAAATGGCATTGTTTTATATTTATTTGATTGTAATGAGATTCAAAATTCATATAAAAGATTGATATATAAATGTCAATCTATTTAACAATTACATAATAACCATTTTTGAATCCAGGTTCATCAATGATAAGATTGCATTTAAATAAATTAAACACTTCAATATAATGAGTAAGAAATATCAGATGAGTAGTCATCAATTATTACTGCTTGACAATTATAAGTTTCATTTCATCAAAAAATTCCTTCAATATTGTAATTTTCATAAAATTATTATTTTTGAATTCCTCTTTCATATAAGTCATATCTTACAATCTCTTGATGATGTGTCTTTTCAACAGTATAAGCACTATTATACAAAAGTAATTAATGAGGCTGCTCATTATGAATATGAACAATATGATGAAAAACAGTTTTTTGAAAATCTAAACAATGTTCATCAATTAACATTCAAATTCTCTATAATTAAAACTGGCTTTGTAAATTGTAGAATCTATTCTGTCAATTGCAATATAATACTTGATTAATTGAAATCTCAAATACTACAAAATGATCTGAATCTTATTGTGTATGATGATGATGGTGATGATGATGATGAATGTTTTTAATTTATTTTATCTTTTACAAATTGATCATCAATTGTCTTTTCTGATCTTACATCTCTGAATACTATTGCAAAACTACATCATCAAATCAATGCTGTAGAAAAAGTCATACAGAATGTGAAAAATAATTTTACATCTGATTTAATTAGATGTTTAAACAAAATCTTCAAAAATAATATAATTCAGACAGAATTAAATGCTCACTATGAAGAAAAATTATCCATTCATTATCAAATAAATAAGAATCAAGTTGTCAAAATCATCTGCAAACAGGTGCAAGTAGAGGAAATTCTCACTGTTAAGAATGCCAATCACAAGATTGTCAATTGCAAGGCAGAAGAATTAAAAAAAGAATATAATAAAATGCTGCAATCAATTGAAATCAAATTCAACAAATTTATCACAAATCAATCACGTTGTGATGAATCTAATATATTTCAATCTATAGACGAATCTGCTGCATCTAATGAGTATATAGATAATCTTTATATTATAGATAGACATGATGGTGATTATTAATTAATTTTTGAAGTTCATAATATTCAAGAAAGTTCTATTACAGTGTGGATTCTGTTACAATGTGGTGCACTCACTAATGAAAGGTAACGTGACTCACCACTCAACGAACTTATCCACTCAATGAACTTCAAAAAGCACTCTATAAAGCCGTTAATTTTCAACTGTAGCACAACAATGCAATAAGATATTAATATTATTTATTAAAGATTAAAACTATATGTAGAATACATCATATAAATATATATGATTAATTTAGAGAATGATTGCTTGGTCTAATAATCTGCTCAGAATATGAAACTTGTGGTTTTGAAACAATTAAATCAGATCATGATGAAGAAGATGTTAGAGAAGAAATATCATTTAATTCCACTGAAAAAATCTGTGTGTGATATTTATTACTGTTTTTAAAAAATTGTATAGAGCTTCTATAGTGTTTTAAACCCATTATTGATCTTTTTGTAAACCTTTTTAAAGTCTCTATGAGCATCTGTTTTACCAACTGTGTTTCATAACATTTAACAGCACATTCTTCCTTCTCTTTTTGCAGTTGAAGCTTTCATTCATCTCACTGTTGCTTTTCTATAAGACATTTAGCTGCAACTGCAGCTTTGATCTTTTCACAGTGTTGAATAGTTTCTAAACATTTTTTCTCACATTATTTCTTTCACTTTATGAGCTTTATTTGCTTTTACTTATAAAAAATCATTCATTGAAGCTTTATATTTTTCTTGCATGTCTAATTATTAATTTTTGCATTTTTATAAACATCTGCTTGCTCTCTTACGGCCTGCATCTTAGTGGGAGAAAAGAATTGAGCAAGTGAAAGATTTGATGAATTAAGCAATCTCATACATTTACTCTGTTTGTATCACTTTCTCTCATTATTTAGAGCAGTCTGAAGATTCTTATTCTTTATTAAGAGAACCTTTCTGTTCAGAGCAATATTCTCCCCAGCACAGAGAATTTTTTTAATATCAACTGAAAATTAGTGGTGATATTAATTTGCCTGCTTTATCAGACTTTGTAAAGCTTATATAAATGTAAATATATGCTGCTGAAGCAGTTCTGGGGGTATAAGTGGACATGATTGAATTTTTTTGAAAATGTGGGCAGGATTTATAGAATGTATGCCAGTGGCTATAAAGGCAGATTTGATATTTTCCATAGTTGTAGAGGTTTTTTACACAGCACAAAATAATCATTAAAAATCTTACTTTGTAATTTGAATAAAGTCATAGTCAGAATGTGTATAGAAATCTAGTTGATCTGAATATGCTTTTACAAATGAGCCAAATATTTCAACATCTAACTGCTGTAAACAGCAATTTCAAGAGCTTTCAAATTGGTTCAAATGAAGATTGAACAATGGAAAAAGATTTGAGCATATTCGAATATTCTCTGATAGTCAAGCTGGGTTTAATAGATTCCAAAGTAATAAAATCAGCAATGAACAGTCAATGCTAGAGCTGATTTTGAAAAGTCTTCAAAATATTTAAAGAAAAATCCCCATTTAATTGTTCTATTCATCTTCACTAAGTGCCTGCTCACATGAGTATCTATTGCAATGAAATGGCTACCAAAGCTGCAAAAAAAGCAACTGAATTAGAAGTCCACTTTCAAAGAATTGTAATATGAGCTTTTATTATGAGAAAAATAAGAGAATCATATTTGCAAAAATGGCAAGATATCTGGTATTTACAAAAAAGAAGTGTACATTATTCCAGGTTTGAAACTAAGTCAAAATGAAAAGATTGCTCAATAAAATGTAAAAAGAAACTTTTTGCTATAATAATACAGTTAAAGCTTGAACATGGTTATTTTAAATCATATTTAACAAAGATTAGAAATGATTTATGTGATTTATGTTCAGATTGTCAGTTATATGAAAATCCAGAGCATCTCATTTTTGTATAAAATATACAAAGTTAAGATTAAAATTGAGAAAGAAGTTTGAATTGAAGCAGTTAAATTTAAAACTTTTATTCAATACAAAAACTGGAAATGAATTCTTGATTGAATATTTGAAAGAATCAAATATTGCTACAAGATTTCAATTGAATAGCTTGATCTGATAATGAATTCAAATTTTTTTTTCTTTTTTTTTTTTTTGGTTTCTATGTATTTGCTTTAATTTTTGTTTTTATTTTTATTTTTATTTTATTACTTTTACTATGAAATTTGTTTTAATTTGTTTCATTTTGATTATTTTTGATTTTGACTTGTTTTGAAAAGTTTGATTTGTGAATACTTTCTTTTCTTTTAATAGCTGTTGTTTTTTATACTCTTTACTTCATTTATTTTAAATTGAATGTATTGATCTGCTGTCATTCTTTTGACATTCTTTTTTAAATCGAATAGTTTGAATAGTTATTTGATTCTGGGCTAGAATTCTGCGATTGCATATATTAAATTAGCTTTGTATATTAACTTATTCTTAAATTGAAAAATTCTGGAGTATTTCAGATAGATGTTATAGTCACTGACTGCATACATTTATAATGAAAGAATAATAATAATAATAATACAAATTTATGTTTAAATAAAAATGACATATTCAATCTTTAAATTTATGATATGAGTCATCAAGCTGATGATAAGATTCTTCATTGATCTAACAAAGGATAAAAAAACACTTTTTGATAAAAATAACTTACTCATTAGAGAGGGTGCTAACTACTGACTAGAAATAACAGATGACACTATGAGATACTGATGAATAATTTTAATGATATTAAAAAATGAATCTACTGTGAAGTTGATGAATTTCGTCACAGGCATTGAAGCAATTACATAATATTATGTAGAGATTACACTGAAATGATAGCAGTGAATTTAAAAATTAAAATTTGAACATCTATTGTCAGAGCAGAGAAATTATATATAAAACAATTATATCTGACGCATCACAATTGAACAGCTCTGTAGAATGTGTCAATAGAATTGTTGTAAAAAAGACAAGAAGTTTTTTATTTAATAATGAATTGATTAAAAAATTGTGAGATGAAATGATGCAAGCTATGATCATGATGATCAATATATTTTCAACATTGATCAAGATATATATATGTAAATGAGAAGTTTCATTTACATTATTTGAAGCATGAATTGAGATGCAATTTATTGCTTATTGAATATGTAGATGAAGATGCAGAGTTTATAAAAAGAATTACATCTCAATGATTGAATGAGTAATGCTGTCATCAAATAATGCTTTGATATGGGGATTCAAGACATGTGAGTTTGAAACTCACAAGAGAACATTTTTTCATTTGAAGTCAGTGTAAGAAACCCGCACTAAGGTGCCAGTGCTAGGTCGGAATTAACGATAGCCCTAAAGATATGACATCGCCGAACATAACACCACCAACGTCATATCAGGATATGATATCGCCGAACATAGCACCACCAACGTCATATCAGGTTCGAAATCAAGGCATTATCTTGCCACTTGTATCATACTACGCCATCTACATCATAGCAAGTTCGATCTGCTTACGATACTGTGTGTATATAGCTAGCAGCTGGTCTAACTTCTAGGGACCAGCGGATCATTCTGTTATAATCTGACCCCTACGTTCTACACCCTCAATACCTAACTACTTGATCCGAATCCTCTCCGATATATCACTGTATTATCTCCTACTGCTTGATCCTCGTAGAGTCCTAAGGACCAACCGAAATATAAGCAGCCATTTCCAACATCGCTGCTTACAGTCAGCTTCTCAGCTTATAAAATAAAAAGATGTGAATTTATCAATTAAATACTTTTGAGTGGATTTACTACCTGATTTAACTTATTATTTCTAAGCTGAAAATCTGTATCATGAATACCAAATCCTGTTTTTTATTAATTTTTCTATATTTTTGATATATTTCTGACATCATTCAACATTAAGCATTTCTACTGTATAACCAACTCTTGTCTGTATTTAATATAACACAAGGACTCGCTATAAGCACTGCTTGCATACGAATATAACGGAAGAAAGAATAATAATAATAATAATAATAATAATATAAAAAGAATCTAAAAATTATCAATAAACTCACAGATAAAATTGATGGCAAGAAATGGCAATTAATTAATTATCAAAAATTGCATCAATATTGTATCTGAAATTCAATCAGCTATCATTTTAAGATTGTGTAAGATATTGTATTTAATGAAAAATTAAATAAAAGTGAAACTGTGTCTGTGAATATAATGAAACAATGAAGCAAAAAATTGAATGTATTAGATATTGTTGATGAATGGCAATACTGTCTTTCATAACATTTAATGAAGATAAAATCTGATATTTTAAAGATGATTGTCAATGAGGAATTTAAGAGTGCAATGAATTCAATTTATCTTTTAAATAATAAAATAGAATTTATTGAGAATAATAATTAAAGAATTCTGTTAATGAAAATGATTCTGTTTTGAGTACTCTAATTAACTGCTCAATTATCATAACAGAAGTCAAAAGGAGCTCTGATTGAAACTATTGATATAAAGCAATGAAAAACAAAGTCAGTATATTTGAGAAGAAGATTATTATTATTATTTTTTTTCTGTTATATTTATATACAAACAGTGCTTATGATGAGTCCTTGTGTAATGTTAAATACAGACAAGAGTTGGTTATACAGAAGGAATACTTAGTGTTAAATAATGTTAAAAATATAATAAAAATATAGAGAAATTAATAAAAGACAGAATTTGATATTCATGATACAGATTTCCAACTCAGAAATAATAAGTTAAATCAAATAGTAGATTCATTTGAAAATATTTACTTGACAAATTCATATCTCTTTATTGAAAAAAAGAAGATGTATATTATTGTTGAGAAAATTTCAGATATAAATATTTTAACTGATAAGTGAATGTTTGATTACAAATTGAATAATAAAGAAGAGACAATCTGATTTAGAACTCATTGAATGATTAGAGAATTTCTTCAACAGCAAGAAATTCATTACACAAAATCATATACTGCAATGATATTAGAACTCACATTCTGAAACTTATTTATGATTTCAATAATAAAGAAATGAAAAGTTAAAGTGATCAATTACATCTCTACATTTTTGAACAGCATACTGCTGCAACATAAAATGATATATAAATAACTGTTTATAAAAATTAAACATGATAGAAAGAGTTTAATTAATCTATTTCATCAAAATTTTTAGAAAATAAAGCAAGTAATGAGAGTGTGTTATTTTTTTACAATAAAGCATCTCATCACTCTAAAATTTAAAATTTCATTATAGAATGATGAATTTTTATATCACTCTACTCACAAGATTTATCTGACATTGTATGTCAATGATTGTCAGATAATAAAATCTCAAAAATAATAATTGAACTGAATATTGATAAAAATTGTAAAAAAATTTGAGATAAAAAATATTAAAGAAAACAAACTTTATCTTGAAATAAAAGTAAAATGTCAAATAAACAGCAATTTAACAGTTATTTAAAATTGTTATATCAATGAAATTTTTGAAAATTTTGAAATGAACAAGATTAATTTGATCAGCATGCTGATGATGATCAATATACATTTTAGAATTTTCATTAGATGAAAATAACAGATTAAATGATGATTTTACTGTTATTAAATATTATTAAAATTTAGAATCACTACAGTATTTAATATTAAAAAGCAGATCAGATTTAGCATTTATGATCAATTATTTCTCACATTTCAACTCACATTCATATAAAAAATGCTGAGTGACATTAAAACACATTCTACATTATATCAAAAAAATAAAAAATCACAGTATTTTATACGAAAAGAAGATGATTAAAGAACTCAATTCTATCATATACAGTAATTCAGATTGAGCAGAGATGGGACTCTCAATACAAATCAATTATAAATTACATTATTATGCTAAATGAAACATCAATCTCATAATGATCACAACAGCAAATCTCAGTTGCAAAATTGATCACTGAAATAAAGTATATCACAGTGAATGAAGCAGCATATGAAGTAATTTAATTAAATGACATGTTATATGATGCTGAATTGATAGAGGGAAAAGTAAAGATATGCTCACATCTGTGAGTTGACAATAAAAAGGTGATAAACTTAGTGAAAGGAGAATCCTTAATAAGTAGATTGTATCATATTGAGATTATATATCATATCCTCCACAATTTGATTGAAAAGGGTGAAATTATGATGGAACATGTTGATTCTACAGTCAATATAGCTGACAGCCTCACCAAGCCGCTGGCAAGGCCTGCTTTTGAGGAATTTGTTAGAAGAATTGAGTTAATGGAGATTGCCAAAGAAGGTTGAAGGTAATGATAATACAGCAGATTACAAAATTTTGCTTGTGTTATCCTGTTTTTTACAGTTATTGCTGTACAGGCACCTATTCTCAAAGAGGAAATCAGGGTCCAAATCTTGTAATTAATTGTTATTGTGTTTTTAGAAGAATTGAGCGAGAGGGGACCCCCGGGCGGCAGTGCATTGGCGGCGCCGTAGCACGGGTGTTAGGGGGTACTACGGCTACCCTCTCACGTGCCCCCCAACATATTGTATTGCTCTCGCGTAGTTAGTTTAGTAATAATGAACGAACGTTATCCTCCTACATACTTGAAGCTTTCGCCGCAAAAAAACCTCCGCAAATACTTTATCCACACACGAATATATCCCAACTTTGATTAGGATCCCTACGTTACGCTAAGGATCCAATACTACTCGAGCTAGCTCATTGGTGCTGGAAACAACTTATTGGATAAAAAAAATATTTCCCCTCGACCGGGCAAGAAGGATAGATCAAGGAGCAGGAGGGCTGAAAATGGCGATTAGCATCCTGCCACCGTCCATGGCGGAGGAAACATTCAGCTCCTCAGACGATGAGTCAAGAGATTCTGAAGGCGACATTGATATGTCCGGAAGCCATTCGCGACCTGCAAAGCGTCTCCGCCTCTCCAAGGGCGGAATAGTAACTCCAGGAGAAGTTGTAACGGACGATCCGCAATGGATGCGGTACGCCCCATTTTGTACCTTTCATCACTAGGATCTATTTTATATAATGCCTATTTGGAAACACAAGACGTTGAACTGACGACATACCCATCCAAATCCAGAGGTCACGGCACCTTCACCCGAGCCCCTCACCACCCCCACTACAACCCCCCCAACAACCCCGCTACAACCCCGAATACAATCATAGCCACCGTCGCCGGCACCGTTCAGAAAACTAACAAGCTGCTCTCCGTCCAACCGCTCCGAGCCCGCTACACACCCGAAATCGGCGACCTAGTCGTTGGCCGCATCGTCGAAGTGCAATCGCGGCGGTGGAAAGTAGACGTCGCGGCCCCCTTGCTCGCCCAGCTCCCGCTATCCGCCATAAACCTCCCCGGCGGCATATTGCGTAAGCGCACGACGGCCGATGAGCTGCAGATCCGCTCCTTTTTCAACGAGGGCGATCTGCTTGTTGCGGAGGTGCAGGCCGTGCATCAGGATGGGGCTGCGTCGTTGCATACACGCTCGTTGAAGTATGGCAAATTGCGCAACGGTGTGTTTTTGGCAGTGGGCGGGATTAGTGTGGCTGGTGGAGTTGTTAGGGGGAGTGGGGTTGTCAGGTCCCGGAGGCAAGTGTGGACGTTCACTGCGTCGCATGGCGCGGGGGAGATTGATGTTATATTGGGCGTTAATGGGTATATATGGATTGCGAAACATGTTGGAGATGGGGATGTAGGTGGTACTGTTGCTGGAGATGTGTCTATTACGCGCATGGAGGAGATGGTCAGTAGTGCCATTTACTCGAGCCAGAATGATGAAATCGGGCCTGCAACGAGGAGGGAGATTGCAAGGCTTTGCGGGTGCATTCGGGTGCTTGTGGAAGGTGGAGTTAAGGTTGATGAGGATACGGTTATGAAAGCATATTCTGCGAGTTTGGAAATAGAATTGGAGATAGGTGACGAGGAGGAAGATAGAGAAAGGAGGGAGGGAAGAGATTATCTAGGTAGTGAGAATGCGAGGAGAGTTGTGAATGCTGCATTGGGACGATGATAGTTTGCGCTTCATCTGACATACAGATGCAATCAAAGCGAAGTCAAGCATATACATATCCAAATGAGAACATGAGCCCATTATTCTATCCTTCGGGCGTTGATTTTCATTACTCCCCTTAGTAGTTTACAGAAATCACATTATCCATATAAAAAAGGAAAAAACAACAACAGATGGATATCAACTAAGGCACGTACACAATGGTGTATCAAAAAAAAAAAAAAAAAAAAAATCTACGGCTGGATCGCCGGACAACAAGCTAGCTACTTGAACAGCTCAATCTGTAGACATCTATTCCGATAAAATGACATGGCGTTCTACAACTTGAACACTGGAACAATTCCCGTCCACTCCCCCCTTGCCCTCTCCTCCCAATACCCATCCTTCCCCGTCCTTATCTTCCAGACTGTCTCATCTTCAGCAGAAGACACACCGCCCTCCCCCACAACCTTTACGAACCACCTAGCTCTCCATTGTTCCCCTCTTTCCTCCATCTCCCTCCTCCTTTCTCGCTGCTTTTCCTCCAACTCCGCTTTGAGCTGTTCCGCGCGGTCTACACTGCCCTCCTCCAGCGCGAGCTGGTCCGGTCGTAACCGACTATCCGTAACGGGGACCTTCCCTTTCTCAATCTCAGTGATTTCATTCAGCGATGCAGCGAAGGTTGTATATCCATAATTCTTCGTGGGTTTATCGACAAGCGACCCTGCGGCCCAGATGGTCTTGTTGGTCTCCATACCGTGTTCAGTCAGTTGGAGGGAGGTAGTCCAGGCCCCTTGGAGGCCCAGGGGCAGTTCTTCGCCGTGGGTATCAAAGGCTTTAACGGAAACTTCTTCGCTGCGGCCTGAGAACATGCCGCCAGCTTTGAAGGTGGCGATTGTCTTTTGGCCAGTGGTTTCATTCAGAACGCACATTTGGCCGACGGGTTCAACATATTTTTCACCTGCGATGATGTTACGAAGGAAGCATGTCGCAGGGGACCAGCTGAAATGTTCACCGTTCGAGTGTAGGGTGAGGCGGGCCTTTCCATCTGTGATTATCTCAGCCGACTTGCCCCAAAATTTCTGCGTGGGTTTGGGCGATTGGGAAAAGCTCCAATCTTTGGAGTCTGCTTGGTAAGCTAGTTGAACGGGCCGGTGGGAGACTTTTTCGGCAATGAAACGGAAGCCACGGTCCTCGCGGATGAGTTCAAAGGTTTCGCCTAGCATGGGATTGAAAGGCTTGCGGATAGCACGTTCCTTGACCCGTCCATTGGAAAGCGGCGAGAGGGCAAATGCCGTGACGTAAATCAGACGTTCCAGGCCATCCGTGGCGCTCGCAGCATTGTCGAGGAGTTGGGAATATTCCAATTGCTCGGCTGCACGCTGAAGGAGGGATAAGGGTTCGTTGGCAGATACCGGCATGGAAATAGTCGACAAGTCTTTGCCCACGTTCTTGCGAAGAAAGCTTATCAAGCTTGGTGGTGGCATGGTCGGAGGCGGTATTTTGGTTCTCCGTATGACTTTATGATTAAAGGGCAGTGGGCCCAGTGATCTAGGTTTGGTTGGGAATAGAGATGAAGAATTATCCAGTCTGAACGGTTTGCTCATGAAGGTGTCAGCCTCGTCCACCTCGCTACCAGAGAGGGACTCTTCATCTCCATCAGCAGTCACGGGAGATTCACTCCTTTCATACTCATCGTCACTGTCTCGTTGGATCGTAAGCAGTGGAGAGGCATTTCCATCTGTCGCATCGAAAAATTCCTGTGATGCCTCAGAGTCGAAACTTGCGCGGGGTTTGACATGGGAGATTTTGGTTGGAATTTTCTGTTTTTTATCCAGCATGAGGGTAGAAAATTCTGACACGACAAAGTTAAGTTCGCGGAGTATTATCATCAAATCATCATGTACGCTCAGTTCGAGAGCGTTCGTCATTTCACCATGAGATTTAGCGTTTGAAGGACCATTCGCATTGGACGACGGGATTGCCGTTTGTGAAGGAATATTACGTTTACCAGCTGGATTGGGAGTATTGCTAATATCTCGAGGCTTCAGTTTCCAGAAAGACCGCTTCTCTCTATTTTCTACCACTTCATCCAGACTACTCCCAGTCAGGGATTGGGGGATTGTAGTAGTAGATGGGCTTTGTGACCGTTCTCGTCGCCCAATAGGGGTTCCCAGATATTTAGGATCTGTATCCTTTGCCAAACGACGCACCATATCTCTTGTGTTCGATACTTTCTCAACTAGAGCTTCCACCTCAGCCCAATGCCGGACATCATCCACAACCGTGCTGGAAGACGCTGCCAGCTCAGGACGAGGTTTTGGTCTTGATTCCGGCGGCACTCCATCTTGACTTTGCGAAGCTTTCTCCAGTGCATGTTTCCACGCTAGGAAGTCAGCGTCAGTAGAGGCGCGGAGGTGCCAGATCTCCACTCCAGAATCAATCGATATTTCTCTGGTCTTTTGATTGGCCGCAATCGCTGCTAGGTTCAAAGGTATGGCGCCGCGGAGGGCTGACGAATTACGATCGTGATAGTACGATAATGTTGAAGAGGTAAAGTCGAGGGAGAAGAAGCGGCGCGCATATCCCTGGTGACGCTTCCTTCTTCTCTTCTGGAGAACCCCAGTGTGCACAGTTAAGGGAAAGCTTTTCGAAGATTCTGCGCTGTGAGGAGGTATTTTGCTGCTGGCCCAAGCACGACCATGTCGTAACGACTCTGTCGAGTCTGACGCCGTCGGATTTAACGCGGGACTCGGGCGCGGCTGGAGATTCCCAATGACTGTCCCTGCAGCTTGCGAATGGTGAATCTGATGACCGGAATGTGGAGGAGCATTGGACGGGTAGGTCAGAAGGACAAAAGTTGCGGTTTTGGAGATTTGCTTTGAGAAGGTATTGTCAAATACGAGTGCATAGTTGCCGCCTTCGTTTTGGCTAACGTCATAGGTTCCCTGAGAGATTTTGTCCGCTTCGCACTTGCCGATCCACTGGATTTGCTTCAGACCTAAACTTCTAAGTTTCTCTGTGACCACAGACGAGGAACTGGCAGTTTTGCTGTTTTCCTTATTCGGTTCAGTAAATTCGTTGGTAATAGGGTCGGAGGATCCAGAGCTGTTCAGGCTGCTTGCGACATTTCCGGACTGGCCGGGATGTTTGAAGATCCCAAAATTCAGCGACTTCTTATGGGGTTGAATGCTCCAGGATATGGTATGTTCGGATTTGACGTTGACCCAACGTACGAGATAAGACTGTATTGGAAACCCATCTGTTAGCGGCAAATTGCCTTTGAGCAGGAGGAGGGCTATTAGGGGAAGGGCTCGCCGCCGAAGGGTATGGTGGGTACTTTGCTATGAATTTCCAACTCCTCCATTCCGGCCATGCCGCCAGATAGCCGATAATATTGGTATCTTTGGGGCGCGCGAACGCGCCCTTAAAATTTGGAAAGATTTTGGAAGTGGAAAGTCCTATGGTGACCGAACCATGACCAAACCCACGGAGAGGTGGATAGGCAGAAAAGTGGAGTATGTCGTACGGAGTGCTAGTATTTATATTCAGGTCTTGCAATGACGCTAATACTGGTAGCCCTGGGTCTGTGTCATCGAAGAGAAAGCCAGATATTACGTTCAGCACAGCACACAGCCCGACCTCAGAGAACAGGGTAAAACGACCGTCGGCGAAACCAGGAGAAAGATCCAGACTGGGCTGATTTGTAAATAAAAGGTTATTCTGTCCTATAGTTAGTTGCAGCTTGTAACTAACTTAACTTGAGGCGTCTAGTTAACTAACTTATGGAGGCGGATCACATAATCTTACGGTCACATGATTTGGACGTCTGGCAGTGCACGGCTCCGCGCTAGTCCAAATCGAGGCGACCAGGCGATGCCGAGTCGGATACCCCTGTCGGTTTACGCCATTCTCATTGGCTGTGAAAGATGGAAATCACGTGGGAATTCCATCAGTCAGCCTGACCGATCTCAACCTCACAACGCAACATTAATGTCGTTACCACCAACTAGACACTCTTGAAGGGGCAACCAACTTGAACGCTGATGTCACAGCCACTTTAGCAGAGTCAGGAGATCTGACCGTTCCTCCTACCGAGAATCCTCAAAGTTCTCTCCAGGACCAGCAGACGAATTTGCCCTCAAAATCACTATCGTACTTGGTAGCAGCAATCCCGTGCATGGTTCATGTTAATTATCGGCTACTCGAGGTTAACAAAACCTATATAGGGAACAGGTACTCATCCTCGTTGCTAGAAGCTGATCACTGGTTCCTACGGCTTGGATGCGGGTTATGATGATCTGAAAACAGGACAAGAGCATGCTGTTTGGATATGCGGACAACAGGTGGTCCAATGAGCACAAATGCTCAATCGCCAAGTTTTACTATCTGATATATGCCATATGCCTTATAAACTTATCTATTGTCAAATAGTCATTCCCTTACGCTGGGACCTCCATCCCCATAAGTTTTTTAATCCTTTGCGAAATGAAATTGGCCCAGTGAACTTCCAGACTGACCCGAAGGAAAACAAGTTTCAAACTCATAGCGAAACACCGACCGAGCATTTCTAGAGGTCAGCCTGTTCTGTTAAGTACATAATAACTGCACCCCACAGGCGCAACATCGATGTGTAAACCACAAATAATAAGGAGCAACAAACAGACAACGAGAACAGAAAGTAGAACAAAAAAAAAATGGTGTCACAAACTCCAATCCGGTCTTTCTAATTCGAAATTCTTCAAAACCGCACCATCCTCCATTGTCTGCTCCCCAACAACGTGAAACCCACATTTCAACAATACCTTAAAGCTCCCCAGATTTTTCTCATTGCATATCGCATATAATTTGTCTTGTTTCCCCCATTTCCCTCTCCTCGGCAAGCTCCACCATGCTTTTATCATGGAAGAGGTCGCCTCTGTCGCATATCCCTTACCCCACTCATCTGGGTGAATGAGATACCCCAGAGTCGGCACAGGGACCAGCTCATTTATACCCACAGTGCCAATAATGCGTCCAGTAGGATCGTGAGCAAGCAGAATGACGAATTGGTAGCGGAGTCCTACAGCACCAGGTGGGGCGGTGAATGTCTTTCGGGCCATCCATTGTCTGGTGGCGGAGACATCTGCATCAGGTATAAAGGGCCAACTGCCCAGGGCGTCAGCATGGCTCTAAGCAAGTGCCAGGTAATTGTTTACGGGATCAAGGGAAAGGGGAAACATTCAAGAAAGTAAGGAGAACTGAATTAAATAGAACAAAAATGACAACAAGGCAAGTCACGTCTCACAGTGTCCTCACAGTATCCTCTCTCGAGCGTATGGCAAACAGGCCCTCTGCATCTGAGTCACGGAGCGCACGGAGTAACAGACGCGGGGAAGAAATGATTAATGAGGTAGATTCCGGCGGAGCAGGGAGGACGATGTCGAACTGGGGCTCTTCACTGGAGCATTCGGCCATAACACCCGGTGCTCCATGATTATTGCAACTATCATCCGGCATTTTCTTCCAATTATCTAGCTAAATTTTCGAACTTAGATAACAATATACTCCCATAAGTGAAGTCTTACTGGATTCAATCGAATCAAACTCCAAAGGCAGGGTTTCTCCGTACCCGAATCCCACTCTTGTTCAGCCAGCCCAGAGGTAAAAAGCGTGCGACACGGGACACTGCGCCCTGCGGAAAAATATACTTGTATATCATCCTTGCCTGCGAGATTTGATCATTTTTTATTGCTTATGAGGACCATGCGATTGGCAACTGGCTCCGACTTGTTCGAGAAAAACTGCCATGGAGATTCAACAGCGAACTAACCCCAGGCTAGAAACATTGAACCTCTTTCGAGAACATTTGGCCTGTGCCGTCGAATAAGCAACGCAGGGAAACAAAAAACGGCCGATTGGAAGGGAGCCAAGTGACATCAAGCAAGAAACATACTTATCCACGTATTTTGATAACTCGCCGTTTCCATTTCAAATGCATGTTGCACTGCACTGACGTATTAGAAGAGGCTACAAATAATGCTTCCTTAGAATAAACAAACGATAGCCAATCCTCAAAGCATCAACCGAGGAAGTTTCTGTGTCATTTGTGCAAGAATCGCAGTCTTGCCGGAGGACGAACCTAAATGCGATTAGCATACAGAGTATTGCTGGCAGCTCTGGCAGAGGGCTGAACAGGGCTCTTCTGTCTCTAACCGCCTCTCCTCGCCGGGGCGATGTTTCAGTCCTTGGCTACACTCTCGGGACGCTGTCCTCTTCAGTCAACACCAACCGGCCACGCGAAACGTGTCTTGAAGATTTAGTTCTTCTGGTTCCACCAGCGTACCGCGAACCAAAAACATAATTAACTAGCCCAGTTGATGAGCAACATGATGCATATAATTGAGTTGCGCTACGGAGGATCCTGGCATTCAGCGCACTCCCACCGGCGCCACTACCACCACCCATCCTTAACTTGGCTAGTATATCCGCAACATACAGCGTCCCGTCCTGTGCTCGTAACTAACGTTCTTAGTGGGTCCTCAATATCTCGTCCCAAACCTTCAAAGTATAGGAGGCCGGACCCGTCTTCGTGCTCCCTGAACACGCTAGCCTAACCACCCCAGGTCTCGCTCGGCCATTCCTAATTGATATACATCCCCGAATTTCCAGCAGGCGCAAATCATAAAAAATGGAGAAATATGAAACATGCACAACTAAACGTCGAAGGAATCCAATGGTACGGAGTAAACTGTTTTGGATCTAGAAAGCTCCGTTGCGGGTCGGTTACAGCCAGCTGGCTTGTTTGTCCATGTATCCTCGACGGCCTAAGCATAACTGCGGACGCCTACTCCGTAGTAGCTAGACACTCCAGCCCTTGTACTCTTACAGCGTATTTCGGTGCTTCGGACCTCACGGGGGGCTTACGGGCAGATGATAAGGACGATGGAGCGGAGCTGTAGCAAAGCACTGTGCTGCGTTGATCTACGCATGAGTAACGATAGCCAGTCAAAAAAGAACAATGTGTCAGGGAGAAAGAAGCTGCTCCCAGCCTGATATGAACACGCTTCCGTGTCGATTCCAGCTAGAAAAATGAATAACAGAGGGCCCGGGCTAGTTTCTGCTCGGTCGGACGATCTACTAATTAATTGTACGCTGTAATAATAAACCCCTGGAGGAGACGAGGCAAGCTTTACGATAAGGCAATCTGTCCCGCTCTTCTTTCTTTTCCCTCCTTTTTATCCCTATTGAATACGTGCGGCAAACTCGAGTTGTTTTGGGGAGGAGAGAAGGGGAAAACGGAAGACAGAGCTTCAGCACCCTGTTATACACCTCTGGCTGCTCTCCCTCTCTTTTACCGATCTTTCACCTATGTGCTCTGTTTTTACGTCTCTTTTTAAATCTTGTTGTTCGCTTATTTTTGCCATTGGCCTTGGTCCTCCCTTACTCCCTGAGGTTGTAAGGTGAGAAGCAAGCGACTCAAAACCACATCAGATTGCCTCCATCCCGGCGATCATGGCTGACGCGCACATTGAGAAAACGGAAAAGGAACCAGAAACACCAACTGAGATATCCAAAAAATCACCGGCGTTCTATCTTTCTGTTTTCTGGCTTTGCCTCGTGTCAGTGATCACATCCTTGGATTCCGTGATCATCACAGCGATCATACCGTCAGTTGCTAAAGACCTTCCGGGCACCACAGTGCAGCTATTCTGGTGCGGAACGGGCTTCTTGCTGGCACAGACGGTTAGTGATGTTCAATCCATTAAATATTTTGATTTTTAAACATTCCTTGATATCTATCCATCGCCTTTAGAAGCTTCATATTGAAGAGGAAACCTTGTAGCATTACGAAATTACGCTAACATGTTCACATCAGGTTACCATCCCGATCTATGGCAGTTTCAGCGATATCTTCGGGCGGAAATGGGCTCTAAACCTCGCCCTTGTCATCTTTACATTTGGCAGTATCCTTTGCGCCACAGCCAAGCACATGCAATGGCTGCTTGCTGCGCGAGCTGTCAAAGGCCTCGGTGCTGGTGGTAACCTTAGCCTGGTCTCCGTGATCATTAGCGACATGACCACGCTGCAAGAACGAGGCTCGTACATGTCCTTGATATCTCTAGCCTGGGCCGTTGGCACAATAGCCGGAGTAAGCTAAGATTCCAGTTGAGCTCTTACTTGATACAATTGTGGCAACTTGCAACAGACCTCTTGGGTCTCTGGCTAAAAATTCCGATTGTGGAAAAATTGGATATAGGTCCCCATTGGCGGCGCCATCGGAGAACGCGCAACGTGGCGATGGGCATTTTGGATAAACGTACCCATCTGCGTCATTTCCATCGTTGGTCTCACCATCTCACTCAGGTTAAAGACGGCAGAAACCACATTGAGGGCAAAAATTTCCCGCCTCGATTTCCCTGGCATCTTCGTCTTCCTCGGCTCGACGACTTCATTTCTCCTTGGCTTGACGACCGGCGGCACTCTCTATCCCTGGGGCTCTGCCAAAGTACTTGTCCCCCTGATCGTGGGCGTGGCCGGATGGGCTTTATTCATCCATATCGAGTTCAAATATCCCCGCGAGCCTATGATTCCGCTTCGGGTGTTCCATGACCGCACAGCAGCAACGGGAGGCTATTCTAGCGTATTCTTCCATGGGCTTATACTGTGGTCGTTATCATACTATATTATTATCTTTGTAAGTTCATCATAATATGCTCTCTCTTTAAAGTATGGATCTTGCTAGGGATCGTAGAGGATATGAAAACTTACGCTTCGCAGTTCCTGGGAGTGACCCAACACGGACTCCTCCACTCAGCCGTGGAAACACTACCAGGATCGTAAGTTGTTTACTGCGACTTGATAACCCTGCTCTTGCGAAAGGGGAACAACCCCTTCCCCTCCAAGTTGGGGGGGGAAAAATATAGAGTGAAAAAGCACGAGAAGAAAGCAACAACTAACCCGCGAGGATCATAATGCAGCGCCTTCATCGCTCCCTTCTCCATAGCCGCGGGGATAATCATGACAAAAACCCTCCGAGTCCAGAAGATAATCTGGACCGGCTGGGCCATCATGACGGTCGGCACAGGCCTCAACGCCCTACTCAAACCCCACTCAAACGGCGGCGTCCTCTACGGCGTACGTATAGTAATGCCCATTGGTGCCGGCCTCCTATTCCCCACGACGACCGTCGCCGTGCAATGTGTGCAGAAGGGCGAGGACGTCGGCATCGCCACTTCCGTACAAGTCTTTGCGCGTAGCCTCGGCCAGGCCTTCGGTGTTGCCCTGGGCGCTGTAATTTTCCAAAACGAGTTTGACAGGCACGCAAGTCAGGCCGCGGCGACGGCCGGGCTTATTGGGAGTGGTAATGCGAACATGGTCATACATGGTTCCCAGGCGGACGCCGCGTTTGACCTCATCAAGACGTTCCCAGAGAATGTGCAGGAGGTATATCGGTACGTGTACGCAGATTCGTTGAGGACAATTTGGTATGTGCTTACGGGGGTTTCTGGGTTTGCGTTCCTGGTCAGTTTGGCGATGAGGGATGAGAGTCTGAATAAAGATGCGAAGGGGAGGCATCAGTTTGACCATAAGAGGAGCGGGGCGGCTCTTCAGGTCGAAGATGCTGAGCAGGTGAAGGAATACACTGAGAATTCGAAACGCAGTAGCGCTTCGAGCTCTAGGTGACTCGACGAACAGAGGAGAGTTGCCGACAACGCGAAAGGGAAAAAAAAAAAAAAAAAAAAAGTCTAGTGCCGTCACATATATTATATTTATCCGGAACCATTGCTCTCCGGCTTCTGTTTTAAAATACATTGTATAGCTATTGTAAAAAGTTGCTAGCATTGCTGAATCTCGAAATTTTCTCAAAACTCTGAATTAATATATATATATCAATTTCAACGTTGGGCATGCATGAATGGCTCGTTGGTCAAGCGCCATGGATTCTCTCCTCCGTTCATTGTACTGTTCTGTTACGTCCATGCAATGTTGATGAAAGTTTTGTAGTTGGAATGAGAACGGTATGATCCTATGAGAGCAGTTTCCCCTCGATGTCATGATATATTGGAAATGATACAGCGCCATCTCGTTCCATACCATGGCAATTCTAATTCTGTTGATAAACAAGTGACAAAAACAAAGGGATTGTTGGTAGAGGAAGTAGATTTAAGTAAGGTCCCCCGGCTATATTTCGCAGGAAATAAAGTAATCAACTGAAAAAATGTGAAAACAGAAACAGAAACGAAACGGAAAAAGCCCGCGCAGCAATACACAAGTGTGTGATAATATGTAATGGATGTACCTATTGCTTCAAACCAACCTATTTATCTATCCATCCATTATGCCACAGAAAAAGAAACGAAAACGGAGATGAGAAAAAGGTACTCCGTGCTTTCAAATCCAATCAATCAATCTAAGCATCACCGACAATAATCACTTATACCCACCCCCGCCGCCACGAGTCTTAGCTCGTGCCTGCAAATTCGCAAAGAGCAGTTTAAACCCATTACACAACGCCATCATATCCGGATACGGGTTGCGTTGCAACTCATACCCCTGCGGGATAACCTTGACAGCCCAGCTATTCAGCTGCGCATTCTCGCCCGCCTTGAAGCAGAGGTGGAAATAGCCTGGGTGCTTGCGGTCGATGCAGAAGGCGTAAGCGGAGCGGCGTGGATTGGCTATTGTATAGGTTGTCAACCAGCCCTCTGGATTGGTGCGGATTGAATGTCAGCTTCTTGTTCTTGGCCATTTACTTATACATTCATTTATTTTGAAGAAAAATGCTCCATGAAAACTTGGGATTTAAGTAAAGGTTTTTTTTAGAGTCTTACCTGCATCAGCCTTGCTGCCCTCTTGGAACTTCTCATGATTCATCATATCATCCACTTTCTTGGCCATGGTCTTGATATGATTGACGATAAACTCATCAAGATCACTATACGAGTACCTGCCGCCAACCTTCAAAATCTTACCCACAGAGAACTCATTCTCCTTGTCTAGTTCAAGGATATCAAGGTGCTGGTAGACGCCATCAGAAACCTTCCAGGTAGCTGCGAGATGATCGATCCCGTTCGACGATGGTCTGATCACCACATCTCCACGACTCTGGGGCGCCAGGAACTCCTCAGCCTGCGCAGCGTTGAAGGAGCGGAAAAGTGGATGTTTTATAACGCGCATTGTTCTGCCGCTGGTCTCTGTTTTTTCGCGCAGCGCCTCCCGATCCGCGTCTTCTTGTCGCTCATCCCATTCGTCGCGGAGGTGGTCAAACTGCCGTCGATAGGGTTTACTGATCTGGCTTTCTCGAAGGGAAACGTTGGCCTGGAGGAGTTTACGGTTGAGGTAGAGAATCTTTCCCTGAACCGTTTGGTGGGGAGAAAAAAGGCTTCGAACGGGAATGTCATAGCGATCAGTTATTTCGACTTCACCTGCGATAGCGTCAATTCCGCAGTCTAGCTTGCCGTCGATATGATCGTCTGAAACGCGTTTGATGGAGATAGGTACGACCATCCCTTCTGCCAGGGACTCAGCCGTTTCTCCAGTCAACATAGTGAAGATTGCATCTGTACCTAGGAAGGCGAACTGTTTCCGCAGCTCTTCATACGGCTGTTGTAATTCCGCACGGATAGTTTCGAGGGTAGCTCGCTTTCGCTGATTGAGGTTTTTCTCGAGCTGTTCAGCATATTCCTCGAGAATAAGATCATTGACTCTATCCTGCGCGTCTTCCTTGATGAGTTTGCGAATAATGGCGCCTTGGCCGTTTTCATCTGTTTCTGCCTTGATATCTTCCTCGTCGAGCTCCAAGGCGTCGGCGGCCATTTTCCGGCCGATATCATAGTCTTCGGGATGAACACGTGTATTATCAAGGTAGTCCGCATCGGGATCAGTGCTGTCATAATCAATATAGAGGAAACTTGCACAGTTATTCCAAACTTTGACACCCATAGCCGGATATTGAGCATTGACGCCTAAAAGCTCCATCCTATTGTTGACAATGCCTCCGTTCATATTAATAATCTTAAGAAGTTGAGCAGCTTTCCGGGGTCCAAGGCCGCAGACGTAAGGAAGCAGATTCGCTGTTGCAATATCGGTGACAGCTTCGTTTATGTCGACACCACAAAGGTTGACCATGTCCACGAGAGCCGTTTCGAGCTGCTTCAGGATTTTGTCCTCAGGAACAAGTTGTTGGCCCGGTTTGAACTGAATCGATACAATGTCTCTACCCAATGATGCATACTCCTTCATCGGATTCTGCAGATACTTGGCCAGCGCGACACAGTAGTGAGTCAGGGTAGCGAAACCAGGATGTTCCATTTTAGCCCGCTCGCTCGTCTGGTAGAGTCGCGCAACTTCATCATTCACGATAACCACTTCTAGATGATCGCTGACTTCCTCATCGTATTCGTTGGTGTAAGTAGCGCTGCGTAGGTCTTTCGAAGAGACTAGATCCACCAATTGTTTGTAAAGCTTTCTAGTTTCGGGAGAGAACCCGGCTACACCGATAACATCAGGTTTGCGTCTGTCAACGAGTTCAACAAAGGCAGCAACATCTACTCCATCTGAAACCATACGGCCTGAGTCACCTAGAGAGAGGTCGACAAATTTCCCATTCTCCAGCACTCTACCATCTTCTTCAATCCACGCCCAGTAGATAGGATCTTTCCCAACGACGCCGTTTCCATTCGATAACGCAAGGACTCTAGGGATAGTGCCTAGGATCATCCCCTTCGGTTTGTAAGGGGCCTGGTCAAGTCGTAGAGAGAACGCTTCTCTGCACTCCTTGGCGACATGGTTCTCGCATTCCGTCCTAATATTTTCTTTAACACCTCGACTCATGATCCTATCGAGTTTCCCAAGGGCCATATCAACGACCTCTCTCCGCTCTCTGTTCCACGCATCAGCAAGCTCGCTAAAATTGTCCGACTCAATCTGCGAATAAAGGTTTTTCTTGAAATTTTCAAAATTCTGGAACCGGACTTTAACCTCCACTAAGCCCTCTTCCTCCGCCTTGAGCATCCTGAGAAAAAGTTCCGGGCGGCGCGCAATATCGCTTAGCTGTTGGTTTCGAAGGTACTTGAATTCGTAATACGGATGTTGTTCATCGATCTTCTTTAATCCTTTTTCCGTTCTGAAACACTCAATAACCCCATTCATGTAAAACGCCTGCCTCATTACCTTGCGCATCTTCGGACTCATCGTGAGTTCTTCCGCAAACATTGCTTTGGCAGCCCTCAAAGCATGGCCACCATTCGTGAAATTTTCGTCAACAAGATTATCTGCCATGACATCCGGTTGTTCGGCGGGGTCTTCTGTATATTGTCGCTTCCCTTCCTTCAGCGCATTTTGTGCGAAAGCATCCGCAGTGATACCAAATGCACGAACCAAACCATACGCCCGGCTATTTCTGACACGTTCAGAGAAAGTCCTCGTGGTAGCTTTTCGTCGTTGCTTAGAGGACCCATTTTCACCACTTCCATTGACCATTGCAATATCCTTCAGTTGACCAGGGTACTGGAAGTAAAGATAGTCCTGCACATCCTGCAGCTCCTCCATGGTCACAGCTAGCGGCAACATCAATTCGAAAATGTTATCCTTTACGTTGCTAATCGCTTGGAGGTTATCGTAGGTCTTTTGCAAGGTGTTACGCTTATCGACAAGTGACCGGAACTTGAGATCATATTCAAAAATATCCCACAAATCTATCATATTCAACAACTTCTCGGCTTTGACGACATACTCTGGGCCATCCGGATTGGAAGGATCAGGCGACACCGGCACCTTAGCTGCGTGGATAAGATAATCTTTGCGATGCTGGAATATGAACGGGACTTCCCAATCATCAGTAATCATGAACTCGAGGACTTTAGCAATTGATCGTTGAAATGGCTCGCGCAGATCCGGATCGATGCGCTTCTTCAGTAGCATCAGGTTCGATATCCAGATCGCCTCTTCCTTGAACTCCTCGTCAGTCAATATGACATGCTTGTATGGTTTCCTCGCGATCTGACACCGTTCGGGTTCGTCAGTGAAACGAATTATATTATCCTCCTCGGTCAACATTTTCTCCGCAAGTTGGGACGGCTCGAAGACATCCTTGAGGTCAAGATGCTTTTCTTCATCTTCGTCCAGTTCTTCTTCTTGGTCTTCGGCCTCAAGCGCGAATTGATAATCATTCCCGTCACCAAAAGCCATCCGCATGTCTTCCAGCGCTGTTTCATCAAGGCCTGCTGCATCCGTCACACCGAATCCAGATAAGCCTTTTTTCATGGGGCGTGCAATTTCCTCGTCTTCTCTTAACTGTTCGTGATCTTCGTCTGAAAAGACATCGTCCTCGATGAAATTGTCCATATCATCCTCCATCCCCCGTCGTTCATGGCGCCCGACCCTGCCATAGTGGTCAACATCTTCTTCCTCGTCGGAGTTAAACATGTCATCGATGCCGCGAGAGACATGGCGATCCCTATCGGATTTATGGCCGCGTTTGAGACGCTTGAACTTTGACTGCTGAGAAAGCAAGACAATATGTTAGTTCTGGTGTATTGTGTATTCGTATCAAGGTTGTATCTGGGCCATACCTCAGAAGGTAGCGCGCGCTGTAACTCCGGGTTATTTTCTCCAATCAAGTAGATATCTTCCTCGTCAAGATCCTCGTCTTCACGCTCGCGTTCTGCCTGACGACGCCTTTTCCGTTCGCGACGACGTTCTTCCCGCTCCTCGATTTCCTCATCTTCGTCGACGATGAATCCTTCGCGGACCTACAAGTAATAGGACAGGCTCCTTAGTTCGCGAGTTTTGCAGACAAGGAAGGGTTTTGTGGGGTTAGAGCTTACAGCGCGTTCAGCCTCCTCGTCGTCATCTTCCTCATCTTCTTCGCTTGAATCCTCGAATCGCCCGTTTGCATGCTCGTGTTCTCCGGGGGCGCCGTCGGCACCTTCCCCGTCATAGGATTGATCATCCTCCTCGTCGTCAAGCAGGGCTTCGTTGTCGAGGAGGTCTCGAGAAGTCATGGTTGCTGGTTGCCGTGCAAGGCTAATTCTAGGCCAAGCCAGTCGACAGCGCGAAAGGGGGCCTGAGATGCACAGGCACAACAAAGGGGAGGGATGGAGCGGTGCTGGACAAAAGCTGCAGCAGGAGAAGCTCCGACATTCTCCTGGTTGGGGAATGGCGACGGTTCAGGAAGAAGCTGCCGACTGTGGCGGGTGCTATGTGTGGCTGGTTCGACTGTGGCGCATATCGCCGCTTGAGAAGCCCTTTAATCCGTATCGGGAATAGTGGGGGATCGCTGGACAAAAAATGGCTTAACAACAATATCTACAAATAAAAAATACCTATATGACTCTACGAGCAATTACTCTTGTTCTGAAAGTGCTTCTGTTCTGTTCCAGAAATCAACTGGACACTGGACTGCTGGTAGCTCATCATAACTGAGCCTGCGATGTGGTTAAACTACGGAGTACTAGCATCCATCATTCCCTCTAGAGTCCAGAGCAGATGTTCTGAGCACAACGTTATCTGTTAACGAGCATTCCATGTTTATTTTCTCCAGAGCCCCAGGCAGAGTGGAAATACGGGAATACTGGTACTATTGGCCAGGTTTTTATAACAATATTTGCTCAAAAGGAGCTCGAATGCCCTGGCTATTTATTGGGAATGGTGGCTCAAAATCAGCCGAACACTGATCGTTTAACGCTATTTAACGCCTAAAAGAATCAGAAAGAAATCGTCAACAGAACTAACCTATCCGATTGATGCATTCGACCCTGCGACTGATATAGAGAGGGGAGAAGGACCAGCCCACGCCATTTGCAATCTTTGCAAGGATATTCGAAAGGCCAGCCACGAACATTCTCCCATGCCCAACACTCGCAATTCTCAAATCCGTACGAGAGGGCAAATTAACGATATCCTCCCCAATGGGATGTTCCGCAGAGCAACCCACAGGCCAAGCAGATGCTGGGCCTTTCTGGGCGTGGATTGGCCACGCTATGGGGTCATTCAGTCCTATTTTCTGCTAGACTTCCGGGTCGAAGAGGCACGCAGAGTTGCAAAATTTGGGGGCCATAGGCTGGTCCCCTGCAGCTGAACGGGAATATTGGCTGGTGAGTGCAATGTAGTTCTATCCAAGGAAAAACAGTTCCAGGCAGAGAATGACGGCCACGGCTACAATCGCGAGTGGAGGATATTTCCTACAACTACGAATAGTGATTTGATCGTTATATTTAATTCCCAAAATCCCCACCATAGCCAAAGCCTCCCCTCCATTAATAATTAGATTTACGTACCTGTACATAAAGTTCAAGTTATTTGACGAAAGCCCAAAAAAAATAGTTCGCAATAGCCACCCGTCTCCTTCCATCCTGTGGCAGCAGAAAGGGGCTTGAAGTTATTTCCAGCAATCCTAACTGACACAGAGGTCTTCTTCTTCTTCTGTGCCCGTCTGGTATGTTGAAATAACATCCAGATTATATGCGCTGAGTGGGTTTGTTGCTGGTGGTGCCCAATCACCCGATTATTTATCCATTCATCCCCGTCCAGCCCCGGCCCCTCCAAACCCAACATTGGCAACAACCAGACGAGCCAACTCACTCTCTTACAACAACATCCAGGCATAACTACATATATATATATATATATATATATTACTTACGCCACAACCAGAGGGCAGCAGTTCCGACTCTCACTCTTCCTCCATTCACTCGCTCACTCACAGCGCCCCACCACTGCTCGTTTCCAGGCCTTGAATTTCTCTTTCCGTCATTTGCGCCCGACCTGCAGCAAGCAAGGTCGAGATCTGCCAGCTCTTTTCGCTATCCAAGAAAACAATAAGATAAAAAGTAAAAACGAAAAAAAAAAAAAAAAAAAAAAAAAAACCAAAAAACAAAAAGCAAAATTAATTAAATAAGGCCTCCGAATAAAGCCCCTCCCCCCAAACAATGGGAGACTCCTTCAAGGCGCGGACACTGAAGCGAAAGAATGTGAAGGGGCTAGCTCTCAATTCTGCGGGGCCAAAGACTGGCTCCAACACTTCAGATGGCGATGCTCAGATACCAGGTGGCTTCGGCAATCAAGACGGTAACCGGACAGACACACTAGAGATCGGACTGGAGTTTAAGCTCGATTTAAGGAGTGAGGACCTGGTGGTGCTGAAGGAGCTCGGGGCGGGCAATGGAGGGACGGTCAGCAAGGTGATGCATGCGTCGACAAAAGTCATTATGGCTCGGAAAGTGTGTT